GCGAAACAGCAATGTCAAACGCCGTGCTGCTTGCAAGCGAAAATGAGAAGCTGCGCATAGAGAATCAGCGCCAGAAACAAAAGAAGGCAAGGAAGCGCACGTATATAGCTAGAAAGGGTATTCTATCAGGTGAAGAAGCAGCCGATCGTGCACAACCTGTACAGGAAGGGGCAGCAGAGGAGGCAGCAGAGCCACCGGCCGAGCGGCCACAGCGAGCAAAACCTAGGTGCAGCATGTGCGAATCAACAGAACACAATGCACGTACGTGCCCTAGGCGGCAGGCAGCTAGCTAGTATATAGCTGCATCAAATATATTTGTTCGTGGTGGAGTAATTCGGAATATTTGGCCTCGGTAGCGTGGTTGGGTGGGCCACTAGCTTGTGCGGGCCACTAACTTGTGGATTACGTTATACTTACTGTAACATACTATGGTGGGGCTCTTAAACAACAACAAGACGCCCCTCGACACCAACATGCTTTAGAAGTCTACAGTGTCTCATTATAGACATCCGTACCCTCTTCTGTTATTACTGTTACGGCTTCAATGCATCAATAAAAGTCGGGGGAAAACAGGTCAATCTGTGTACTCTCCTGTGCCATCGTCTCCCGAGTTCACCAGTTGGTCAAACTACTGAATTTCCATCTCTAATAAGTCACCATGAGGCACCACAAGCAGTGGCAAGAGAGAGAGTACGGATCTTAACGACGAGTTACTGTAACTACCTCAAGTGCTCACGAGACTTTATCTTTTAACCTGGATCCTAATCTTCGTGAATGACGTTTGAATCATACCAATCAGCCACAAACCCCCTTTGTAATAGTCTGTCTCTTCAATAAAAGATACAGATTACCTCACCCTGTAGATCAGACGTCAGGAACGTAACTGAGTGTGCGTGCACAGCTATCATGAACCAGAAGGGTCTAGGATATTCTACAAAAAACCAGGACAAGTTAACGACCTATCGCACTCTAGGCCTGGGCATCTCAGGAACTGCAGCTACACGTAGACGTGTAAGACACCTGTGGACGTATCATAGGAGAGAGATTACGGATGCAAAAGGCGTGCGCCGGTACATTAGAGCGGGCTAACAGAACTAAGGAATCTTAGACTACGCCGTGACTCAGGCGTAAGGGATGCCGAGCTCTACGCATACAGGTATATATACCCAAGATACCCCAAGAGGTATCATACAAGCAGGAATCCCAAATGCAAAGAACGCGAGCCCGTGACTTAGGAGGGGGTGTAGGGTATCTTTATTTGGGATTATGGCTCGATACTACGAAAAAGACGGCCTGCCCCAATCCTACTGCCAATCCAGAAAGCTCCGCAAACTCCGTCCCGCACGCTGTCCTTTTGCCTACCTTAACACCTGCAGTTATGCCTTTGTCAAAAAGAGGAGCAAATGTTACAAAAGTACGAAAGCCAGCCCCTGTAGAGCCTAATCAAGGCATGTAGGCACCACCAGCCAGCACCAGATTCATCCTCGTGAACTGCACCTTGTAGACCGGGCTCTTCTTGGTGGGGAAGGCCGATATCTGATCAGCGGTGATGCCAATATCCTTTGCCTTACCGCCTGCCTTGACGACGGCACCCGCGCCGGCTTTGCCAGCGTCGATCTTGGCACCAGCGCCGCCCTCAGCAACCACCTTTCCAGAGCTGTCCGACGTCTCGAGGAGGACGTCCCAGACGCGGACTGTGCCATCGGCGCCACCAGATACCAAGACCGTCGACTCGACGGACCAGGAGAGTGACCAGATGCCACCTTTGCCGTGTCCGCGCATGCGCTTCTTACGACGGCCCTTTTCCAAGTCCCAGAGAAGTATAGCGCCAGTGTCGTCGGCAGACGCAAGCGTCTTGCCATCTGGAGAGCAGGCTATGGCGGTGACGTTGCTAGTGTGTCCGGTGAAGAGTCGCAAAGCGTTACCGGTAGATATGTGCCACATTCGGACGCTCTTGTCGCAAGATCCCGTGAAGACGTATAGGTTGTTTGGATGGAAGGAAACACAATCCACATCGTTGTCATGTCCAACGTACATCTTCAGAGGCTCGATATGATCGGTGCTCCAAAGACGAGCGGTGCGGTCGCCCGACCCAGTCAGGAAGTAGTGGCCTTGGGGCCCCCATGTAACGTCCCATATGGGGTTGTCGTGGCTTCGATATGCAACGAGGCATGTCCAGGTCTCAAGAGACCACAAGCGGACGGTTTTGTCGGCGGAGCAGGAGAGGAGGTACTGTGATGCGGTCGACGGCCCATCGGGATCGGGAGAGGCAATAGAGGGAGAGAAGGAAACTGCGTATACGGGCCCGGAGTGTCCTATTAGGCGACGTGAAGACTGAGGTCGGTCCGAGCTCGAGTCATGCGGTGAAGGGGGAAGGGCTGAGCCGTCCATCGACCAGACGCGAATGTACGACTCTGCCATTCCGGCTGCGACGAGCTCATTATCGCCAGAGAAATCGAGACAGTTGATACTGACTAAGCATTAGCGATGCTCAAAGGCACAAATTGACGCGTCTCATCAAGAGTACTACTAACCTGTCATGGGTGTTATGGAACGTGTACATTGACACGGTTAGTCCTGGCCCAACTCCGCCAGTCCTGCCGGTAATCCTGAAGCGATCACGGTGCTCTACCACTTTCTGTACTTCCATGGCGACGTCCCGGGCAAGTGACGGTGGAAAAGGAACGACTTCGCGAGTTGGCCCGTCCTCAGTCGGCTCTCGCTTAATAATCTGTTCAAATTCGTCTACCAGTGAATGCTGGCCCGGCTGTGGCGGATTCTTGGCGTCTCTGTATGAAAGCTCCGCGCGCACATCTTCCTGCAGCTCTGCTTCCGTGGGCATCGGTCCAAGATTGAGCTTGGCAAGGACATTAGGCGCGTTGCGATCGGTGTTTGCGGAACCAGGATTGTGCCCGGGAATGCCTTCATCTTCAGCAGGCATATCTTCATGGACAGCGCCGCGTGCGATAATCGCAGCAATGCTGCGCTCGGCTCCCGCAGCCGCTCGGTCTACCGTGTGCAGTTCCATGTGGATATTCATGATTTCCGCCACTACAGCCCCTCCTTCGGGGTTCTTTGATTCGAGGAATTGCATGAGGTTGTTGAATGCCATGATGCTCAGCGTCAAGCGGTACTTGTTCTCTAGATACACCTTCGCGATGTGGCTCTCCGTGAGATGCTGGGGTAGTTTGACTGCGGATAAAGCACGCAGGTCGTCTTCATGCTCTCGGCTGAATGGCTCCTTGAACTTGGTGAAGAATTGTTCGCCTTCTCGTATGTAGTGATCTCTGATCAGGTCCAAGTAAGAGTAGACGAAGACAGGCCATTGCAGTCTACGGAGCTCAGGCTTGTAGAGGTCCAGACTGTCCTCAATATAAGTACGCAATACGCCAAAGGCCGTGGTGTACTTGGGTCCTCCAGATTCCTCAACTCGAGTGACAATGGGGCGGCCATCTGCGTCCTGATGTGCAGACTCTTTCCGAAGCATCGCCTCCGTACGGTTGTACCCCTTCTTGCTGAGGTACTCAAGAACCTGCGACACCACTGAGTTAGCCTTCTTACAACAAATTGCGATCAAATACAGCATCGCGGACGGTAGCTATTCCTTGGCAGCATCTTGGCCGCGGGTATCCAAAATCTCCATGGAGCACTGCCATGGAGTAGCCGGCATGGCAGGCAGGGGTGAGTGGCTTTGAAGCTGCCCTCGCCGGGACGAGCAGGTCTGCTCTCTTATACATACCAATTTGGTTCCGTCGATGGGTCCGTGTAGCCCATTCAGCCGCGGGGTTGGCCTGGGGACGATTGGACTGTTGGGCGCGGGCTCGTCAGTAACAAGCTCTCGTCCGTTGTTCAGTCGTGCCGGAACGAACCTCGACGACCCAAAAGAACCACCTCCCATTACAGAGGCCGGGCCATGACTGTTCGAATGTGGGGACGCCGTGGCTGGCCAATTGGGCGCGGTTGGATTGTTGGTCGGCGGTGGTTGAAGCACATTCTCGGCTCTGGGCTTTGCAAGGCCGTGCTTCTCAAACAAGGAGCCTTTCTGTTCAGGAGGAAAAGAACGGTCCCAACCTGTCCAGCGTGGTGTGATTTTCGGTGGGTGGTCCATTGGGTTACACGGTGGCGCAGAAGCAAGATAAACGGGAGCATGAGAGTCGTTTCTACCTACAATTTGGTTGAGATTCTGCTGCGACTGGTTGCCTGGCTGTGCGCCTGCCGGGCCTCCAACAGGATTCTGTTGCGCCTGCATATGCTGCTGGGGCGGCATTCCCGCACTCGGAGGCCCTCCAGGCCCATTGCTGATACTGACGCTCCTAGAACCAGGCCCGCCTGGTCCAGAAGGCTGTCCCGACATTTGAGGAGGTGTTTCGAGAAGGTGGAGGGTGTGTCGGTGCTTCTTTCTCACCACGTCGCAGATGGTGAACAGGAAGCTTCCATCGGCGGAGGGCTTTCGCGAGTAGGGATTCGGGAGTCGGCGTTGTAGAGGTGGGGCGAGCAGTAGGAGAGCTGATGGTAGATGGCGAGGATATCGTGTGGCGCAGGCAAACGGTGATCTCGTCTCGCAGGTGGTGGTTGCAGTGAATGAGGAAGTGATGTGGGCCGGGGAGCTGCGCCAAGATGTCAGCCCTATGGCACCTCCGCCCGCACCGCGCACCGCGCCACTAGGAACTGAAAGGAGACAGAAACGCTTCACCTTGGGCTATGTGGAAACTCGTTGAAGCACCTCAAACGGTGGCAGACAGGTGCACACGGGCAGAGTAATTGCTGAGCAACTACCTAACTACCCACGAACAACCCTCAACCCTCCACCACCTCCCACCACCATGGCCGACACGCCCAAAACCCGCGCCGAGCAGCGCATCCAAGAACTCAGCGCCATCAACGCGCAGATCCCCCAAATCCTCATCAACGCCAGCAGCGCCATCCGCGCCCTCACCAACTCCTCCTCCTCTTCCTCCAACAACACCGCCCCCGCCTCCCTCGCCGCCCACAAAGCAACCTTCCAAACCTCCACCCGCGCCTTCTTCACCCTCATAACCCAGATATCTGCCCAACTCACCGACCAAGCCCGCGCCCTCGAGGCCGCCGGTATCATCCCCCCCACCAACGCAAAAGCCGCGTCGCGCGAGATGACGGGCGCTGAGGCGGCGGCGCTGCTAGGAGCTGCAGGAGGCGGACCAGCTGGGGCGATCGCGGGCGCGCAGGTGCGGGACTCGGAGGCCACGGTCACGAACGGGGGATTGGGGGAGCTAGACGTGGGGTGGTTGAATGCGCGGGCGGGGGATGTGGGGAGGGGGATGGAGGCGGAGGTTCTGGCGCGGGTGAGGGAGATTCTGGAAGGGGTAGGGGGAGAAGTAGTTCGGGAGAAGGAGGATAGGGAGATGGGGGGTGTGTGAGGATGCGATCTGCTGCCGCTCATATATCCTACAAAAACAGGACAGATTAACAACCTGTCGTGATCTAGGCCTAAGCACCTGAAGAATTGCGGGTGCAGGTATGCATGGAAGACACCCCCAGAGGTATCAGGAATGTGAGTCGACGGATGTAAAGAGTGTGAGCGTATGAATTAGGAGGGTGTCATATTTCATACAAAAACAGGAAAAATTAACGACCTATCGCGATCTAGGCGTAAATACCTGGACAACTGCGGGTACAGGTATACATGGAAGACGCCCCCGGGGGTATCATAATTCCGAGTCTACGGATGTAAAGAGTATGGCCTCCTAATTGACGGGCTCACGCCTTTGACATCTATAGATTCTTATTCCTGATACCTCCTAGGGTGTCTTCCAGGTATATCTGCACATGCAGTTCTTCAAGTCCTGACGTTCAATCCATAGGGTGGGTCAATTTGTAGCTTTGATTGAAGACACTGTTACACGCGCCGCAAATCAAGCTATTTTTCGCGTCATTTTTCCACTATTGAAGAGTTATGAGAATCGATTCAACACTGCGTCGTAGCAGGCAGACGCGTAGAACAAATAGACTAATTTTACATATACCGATCAGGTGCCCAAGAATAAAGCCTCAGGTGCTTCTTGTCAATACCAGCCGCCGTACACTTCCTACGAACCCACGCTTTGTGCTCTTTTTCGCCAACATTCAACGTGACCGTCCAGCCATGCTCTGTGGCCAACTTTAGCATGGGTATCATGTCCGGGACCAAGTTCTCGCGCCTCCATTCCAACGTCTCGTGGTTAATCATGTGCAAATCAACGCAGAAGTCCCGTTTTGCCCGCATGGCCTCATGGGCTTCTTCGGCGCATTTCCGGACAGAGTTGCGCTGGCGCTGCCAGAAAGTTTTGACGAAAGAGCGTTGTTTGCCTTGCTCTTTCAGCCGCGTGGAGCGACGGTGGAGGGACTCGGGGTTGTTGGAGGGGCACGCTTTCAGGATAAATTCCTTCAGATGCCGCGTGATCATGAAGGACTCATAGAATGGGATCCTCATATTCGCTTTGCTTCGGTCGTACCTATGGCTGTATTTAACATGCTCGAAGTCGCGTGCGTCGCTTCTTATACGTGATATTTCTTCTGGAAGGCCCTTCATGTGCTCCACAGTCAGGGCCAGCGTGCACTCAGCGTGTAGAATGTGCTTTGCCTCGTTATGTAGTTGTTTGTCTACTTCGAGAATGTTGAAACGGTCGAACCGCTCCCACTTCTCATCTCGCAGCTTGGGTCGCATGGGTTTGTCGGTTTGGAGGACGTGTCCATACACTTTGTTTCGTAATTCCGCCGGAAGGTCCTTAAACCTGAATGGGGCAACTTCTTCGGGTGTCGTCTTGGTGGTGCGTCGCTTCTTTCTGGAGGCCTGGTCGTCGTTCTGCTCGTCGGCGGTGCGCTTTTTGCCGCGAGACGTGGTAGTTGTTTGAGTATTGGTTGGTATGAGAGATCCTTCGCCGACGCGAGCCTTCTTGCTGACTCCCTGATCGACGTCGTCCTGATCGCGGGCGCGCTTTTGTCCAGAAGCCATGCTTTGTGTATGCGTAGGGATAGGTTGAGGGGCCGGTGGAGTAAGGTCGGTGTAGTTGTTTAGAAACTTTTGAAGAGAGACTGTGGAGTGTTTGCGCTCGTCTTTGCGCGGTGTGCTTGGATTTGGATGATCGGTGGCTTGGTCTGCTGGAGAGTGCGACGAGTGCGGTGAGTGTATGGCAAACACGATAAGCGAAGTTGTTCTTGAGCGTGTGCGAAGACTTAGAATAGCGGAGAGAGAGGCTATCAAGGCGTGTGGGCTGCTTTTCTCGAGGCCTGGAGGTGTGTTTGGATGTGGTGGATCGAAGGCTTGATCTGCTGGGAGTGCGACGAGTGCGGTGCGTTTATGGCCAACGTGACAATCGATGTCGTTCCTGAGCGCGTACTTTGAGCAACGGCGGTGGAGAGGGATGCCAAGAGAGTACAGTGAATCGATGTCTTGATCTGGTGGGTAGCGCAATAAGTGCGTCATAAGGGGATCGAAGTTATCTTTCAGCGAGTGCGACGAGCAAAGTGTATAGAGAAAGGTTCAGGGACAGCTGGAAGTATTGAGCTTTTAAAAGAGAGAATGCAATGTCTATTGAAGAAATGCCACAATACAAATTGGAGTGAAGAGGAAAATGCCTATTGTACGGCCCAAACCTGATTAGCGCCAAGCGATTCCCATCCGCTGGTGAACATCACAACCAAAGCGACTAGACGTTGAGATTCACTATGGCCTTGTTCTCTTACACATTCTCTACCACTTGGAGACGTGCAAAAGGTCTTTTGAGGAAGTATGAATGTGATATAGATCTTTGACTTTCGGAAAAGGGGGCCTCATAGTTTGAGTCTTTCGTTATAGGAGACAGAAAACGAGCGGCTGCCACCTCTTACTCGTAACCTACTGACAATTCTGGTACTCACATCAGTCTCAGCAATGAGGGATATTCATCTGGAAGAACAGACGAGTTCAAAGATCTGAAAGGCAGCTGTGGTAGAAGTTTATGTTACATAGAACAACTCTACGCTGCCTGGTCTTGATGTTATGTATATTACTACAATTTCTTGCCACTACTTTGTTTCTTGCGGCCTTTTCAAATACCCAGTAGACTGTAGAAGTATCCAGGCCATGCGCCTTGATGCTGGTCTGACCCATGAAGTAGGCTGGACCTCCACGTTTGCTTTGAAAGCTTGCTACGATAAGAGGAGCAAACTAGCAGCAGCTGATCCTTATTCCATAGTGTGAGGGTATACTAGGGAAGTTCACGGGTCTGTATGTGTAATGATGGAGAGAAAAGTGAAGGATGAAAAGATGAGACGTTGGCGTAATCTATCCATCTAAACCGCCAGCACGCCTTCCCAAGTACGGACTAGACCGTATTCTATCCTCCCCTCCACTACTCTGCTTTGGTGATGCGTGGCGTCATCTACACACGTGCATCTTCTCCGCTCTCTGAGAAGCTAGAAGCCTAATAGGCTTGCTCAAGTGGCGACTATGGTTCAACTAAAGCCGCGTAGAATGCTACGCTCAATTTGTCTCCGGACAGTCTCAATCAAATCTAGACACCACAGCTTCAATGACCCCGAGTGCGGTATTATTAAACTTTTAGAAAGGTCGGAGGAGGTTTCAAAGTGGTCTCTCCCTATTCCTCGTCATGCTTTCCTATTTTCGAAACCTCATCCCATTGAGTCCATTCATCGCTCCCTCCATAAATTCAACCATCCAGCCCCCCTCTTCCCCAGTCCCCGCCGCCTCCACCACCCAACCCACCCTCTCCCCCATCTCAAACATCCAAGGCCATGCCTACAACCGCTTCATCCAAATATGGCTCGAAAACACCGACTTCGCCCTCGCCGCCGGTGACCCCAACATCGCCTGGCTCTCCACCCACGGCATCTCTCTCACAAATTACTGGGCCCTCACCCACCCCTCCCAGCCCAACTACCTCGCCGCCGTCTCGGGTGACCACTTCGGCCTCGACAGCGACGACTATATCTCCGTCCCCTCCAACATCCCCATCGTCGCCGATCTCCTCGACACCAAGGGGATCGCGTGGGGCGAGTACCAAGAAGACATGCCATACGCAGGCTTCAAGGGCATCGAGTACAACAACCAGCACACCGGCGCGAACGCCTACGTGCGGAAGCACAACCCACTCGTGCTATTTGAGTCTGTGACGCAGAACGCGACGCGGCTGTCCTTGATGAAGAGCTTCACGTCTTTCGCTGCAGACCTCGCGGCCGGGACGCTCCCGCAGTGGGCGTTTGTGACCCCGAACATGACGAATGACGGGCATGATACTTCCATTACCACTGCGGGACTGTGGGCACGAAGCTTCCTGGAACCTCTTCTTAACAACGCGTATTTCATGAACGACACGCTTGTCCTCCTTACTTTCGATGAGAATGAGCACTACGAGACGCCTAACAAGGTTTTCTCGCTCTTACTCGGCGGCGCGGTGCCGGAGTCATTAAAAGGGTTAATGGACAATACGTTCTATACCCACTACAGCGCCCTCTCGTCTCTGGAAGCGAACTTCGACCTCCCTTCCCTCGGCCGCTGGGACTGCGGCGCCAACATATTCGAACTCGTCGCCAAGAAAACCGGGTACGCGAATTACGCGGTTGATACGACGAATCTGTGGTTTAGTAGCTCGTACCCCGGGCCGTTGTCTCCGATGGATGCGAAGGCGTGGCCCGCGCCTAATACGAATGCGAAGTGTGCTGCGGGAAACGGAGTGTTGGAGAAGGTGATGAGCGTATGGGGGAGGGTTGATGGAAGCTTGCACTATGCGGATCCGTATCCGCATGATGATGGGTTGGGGGCGAACGCGAGCGTGAGCAGGTTGCCTACTCCTAGCCAGATGGCGCCGTCGACGAATTTAGTGCAGAGTGGGACTGCGAGCGGCCCGAGTCCGACCGCAACAGAGACGACGGGTTTGGTGCAGAGTGGCACTCAGCTTAGTCCTAGTCAGACGGTACCAGATACGACGGGGACAGCGCCGGGTGGGACTCTGCCTAGTTCTGCCGGTGCGTCAGTTATGTACACTGCGGGAGCTGTGACAATGGATCTGGGAGCGGCTTGGTGTTGGGACTGGACTCTGGCTGCCTTGGGGTTGATGGCTGGATTCTTGTAGACCAAGAAGGATGACTCGGGATTATTGAAGATATAATAGAAAAGAGTTCAACATCACTTTACATTGGGAAGGAGCCCTGAGTCGTAACCGTTGCCATTTACACAGGTCTAAATACCGATATACTACAGGACCTCACTATACCCCTTTCTCCTCCACGACAGTGCTTTTCTCCTCCGTCTCAATACCTTTAGCCTCCACCTCCGCCCCCTTGTCTTCCACCACAACCCCCTTCGCCTCCACCTCCGTCGCATTCCCCTTCTCACCCTCCTTCTGCCCAACAATACTCGCCCACTCCGGCGCCGGCACACTCAGCAACCGACACACATCCCTCCTCCTCTGCCTAAACCCATCATACAACTCCTTCCACACCACCCTGTCTCTACAAGTCCCCTCATGACTCCCCCCACAATCCGGCTGCATCGCCGCCAGCCCGTCCAGCGGCCACATAACCCACGGCTTCGGCAGCGGCCAGTCGGAGAAATGCACCAGCTTCGCCTCCCGCAGCGCCGCATCCGCGTCCCACGCCTCGTAGCCGTTGCCCAGGTAGCGCGAGTGGTTGTGCGCGCGGAACTCGCCGCTCAGCAGCGCGTACGGCCGGTGCGGCAGCACGAGCGCCGAGTCGCCGAAGCGGTCGTTGACGAGGTCCATGTCGTAGCGGCGGGCCGTGACGACGTCGGCGGCGGCGCCGGCGGCGATGAGCGCCTTGAACGCGTCGAGCTCGCGAGCGTTGGGCGTCAGCAGCATGAGCAGCGACGTCAGCGGCCAGGGCTTGTAGACGGTCCAGTAGGCGCGGGGCATGGCGATGGGCGTGGGCGGGAGCAGGAAGAGCTCGTCGAGGGGCTGGAGCAGGGTGATGTCGGAGTCGAGGTGGAGGACGCGCTTGTATTGGGTCAGGCCGAAGGCGAGGAATTTGGTGACGGAGTTGTCCCAGGTGGTTTTGGGGACGTCTAGGAGGGTTAGTATGCTGGGTTTGGGTGTGGGGAGGGTTGGAATGTAGGTACGTACTGGCTTCTTTTAATGCTTCTACGCTCAGCAGCTTCACGGGCTGCAGCTTGACTTTGTATACATCCCGCGCCATGACCAGCAACTGGCTATCACGATCCCGCGAATTGTATACTTCCGTGTCCCAGTACTCAGGGTAGAATAGTACGCGGTCTGCTTTGCTTCCGAATCGCTTCAGGGCGTCGAAGACGAGGACGCAATGGCAGAGGGCGGCGCCGTCGGTCGCATAGAGACTGTACGCATATTGGGACCATTTTGTGCCATCGGGGGCATAGTCGCTATCGGAGGACGAAGACCAGAGATTCCTATACAAGAGGTACAGCAGGAGAACGCCGAGGATAGCTAAGGTGCGAGAACGCCGCAGGGGCCATCTGTACGACGAATCGCCATGGCGGGACTTGACGGGCGTGTAGAATCGCGGGAGGTCGTCGTTGCGCTTGATGCTACCTGTAGGCATGCTACAGGTCGAGATGGTGTTTTTTAGGGCATGGCCATGAATTGGTCGCAAAAGAGCCGCAGGGGAAGGTCTGACGGATGCCCGGACTCTCTTACGGCGCTCAACCAATGGGGTTAGCGGTCACGTGAAAATACATATATTCATTAGATGCGTTGAAGGAACGGCTTGATTCACACAGTACACTTGAAGCAAAGCCTAAGAGTTTGTTTGTCCCTCATGTGGGTATCATATTTCGGCATAGTTTCCTACTCGTGCGCCTGACCCGGCCAGCACTTGGTTTCGTGATCCCGGATATCCTTTGCAGCATTCCAAACCAGCCTTCGCAATCCCCAGCCGTGATCCTCGTGCATTTTGAGGTGGAAATTGAGTTTTGTCAAGTCGTTCTTTTCGGAATATCTACTCCTCAGGGATCTCAATCTCGCCAGACTCAATGTCGTCCGAGATATCCTTGGGGCTCCTTCCATCAATCTGGCAGCCGGTGCTGTATGCAGTGCCTACGATCTCCTTGACAGTGCCCTTGAGGTCCTTGGCCATCGACTTGAAGCGCATGGTGCGGGCGATCTCGATGATCTCGTCGAGTGGGATGGACTTGGTGTGTTTGATGTTCTTCTCCTTCTTCCTGTCGCGCGGGGGCTCCTTGAGGGCCTTGATGACCAGGGACGAAGCGGATGGGACGACCGAGACGGCGGCTTGACGGTTCTGGATGGTGAGCTTCACAGTGACGCGCTAAAAGTCTGCTGTTAGACCACTGCCGTCGGGAATACTGCGTGTAGACTTACGAGTCCCTTCCAGTCACCAGTCGCCTTCGCGATGTCTTCTCCGACCTTCTTGGGAGAGAGACCAAGAGGCTGCGATTGTCAGCATGGCGAGCCAAGATTGACCGCAACAGTGTGGATACCACATACACCAATCTTGGGGGCCAAGGCAGAGGAAGCGCCGACCTCACCTCCGGTGGCACGGAGGTGGATGACCTTGATTTCATTGGGATCGAACTTGGGAGCTGTGCGGACGAGAGTGGTCAGCGGAGAACGGGTAGCCGAGACTCGAGAGCCTGGTCATCGGAAGGACGATACTCACGCATGGCTAGTGCGAGAGGTGGTCAATCTCTTCTGATTCTTGTTGACGATGTGGAGGGGTGTATCGATGAGTGCGGGAAGATTTGGAGTTGGGTCTTTTCCGTGGGGAGAGCTAAGCGAGACTAGCGCTAAGGGGGAATAGCACGATGCCTTGATCCTTCGGGGCTCCACGGGTGCACGGCATCCCCGAGATACATCCCCACTATTCGCTGCCACACTGCTATAACACTATATGCTACATCCGGTAGATATCTCAGAGGCACCGCTTTACATAATCCGAGAAAGGTGCAGATCCCCCCTTCAGATCAGACTATTGGGAGATGGCCAAGCCACCACATACACTGTCGTCGTCTCACTGGAACCCAGCATCTTTCTATGCACATCGTTGCTGTCTATTGGCCGATTGAAGGGCTGGAGTAATGCTTACGCTAGCGTAAAGTAAAGGCGTGATTCCTCTGGGCGTGGCTGGGTTGTTGCTATGCCCGTAAAGAGGAGGGGAAGCCGGGTTTCACGATATCAGCAACGCACCCATCTCATTACATTCATTGTTTCTCCAAAGCCTCGGCAACTTGCACCCATAAGCTGCCGCCTGTTTCTTTATATACCACAGTTCGCTGGATCTACTCAAACTGCGTCAGTTCAGCGAGTCAAAGCAGCAATCTATAGGCTTCAACACCTTAGCAGGCAGCCTCAAAACAGCCCAGAGAAAATATTGCTCACGATTCCATTCCACATCTCTTCGTCCATCATGTCTTCCATTCCTATCATCCAAGTCCTGGACAAAGCGGATTACACAAAGCAACATATCATCTCTCTGCCGAATGCCCTACCCCTTCCCCCCTTAGCCTCCTCTTCTATCCGCATCCAAACCTCCATCATCGCCCTCACAATCAACAACATCACCTATGCACGCATCCGCCACATAGGTGGCTGGTGGAGCATCCATCTCCTGCCCGAATCTATCCCCTCCGAATTCAGCGACACCACCAAGTACGGCCGCATCGCCGGCTGGGGCTATGCCACCATCATCGACAGCACCGTTCCCTCCCTTCCCACCGGCCACCAAGTCTACGGCTTCATCCCCATCGGCACGCTCCCCGAGGATCTCGAAGTCAAGCCCGCCGAAACTACAAAAGCAATCATCTGCACCAGCCCCCACCGACAGCAATCCTGGACAATTTACAACCGCTACAGCGTCTTACCCCCTCCCACCTCCACTTCCACAGCTCACCTCAACTCCCTCGGCTGGGACGCCCTAATGCGCCGCCTCTTCGACACCGGCAGCGTCATAAACGGCTACGTGCTCGCCTGGGACGACGCCAAACGCGTCGACACCGCCGGCGCCCGCTCCGCCTCCTGGAGCGCCTCCGACGCCGACATCAGCGACGCTGCCGTCATTGTCCTCGCCGCCTCCGGCAAGACCTCCCTCAGCTTCGCCCACCAAGTCCGCCACAACCGCCCCGAAGCCGCCCAGCCAAGGCTCCTCGTGGGGGTCTCCTCCCCGCTCTCCCTCGACTTCACGAAGAAGACGGGCTTCTACGACGCCGTGCTCCTCTACTCCGACGCCGAGAGCGCCAAGCCCGCCATCGCAGCCGCCGGCGTCTCCAAGATCGCCCTTGTGGACTTTGGTGCCCGCGAGGGCGTTACGGAGAGCTGGCACGCGGCGCTCTCGCCCACTGTATCCAGCATCATCTATATAGGGGTCGGCAGCGAATCAAAGGTGACGACCAACGAGGAGATCATCGCGGGGTTGGGGAAGCGGCAGGCGCTGGGGCTGCGGCAGGTGAATGTGTCGGCGATTCGAGAGGCGGCGCGGGCGATGGGGGAGCAGGGGTTTCAGGATGACGAGGAGGCGGCGTGGGAGGGGTTCAAGCGGGAGGGGGCGATTCCGGGGGTAGAGTTGAGGTGGGGGGATGGGATGGAGGATTTGGCGAAGGGTTGGGATGGATTGGCTACGGGGAAGATTGGGCCGGATACTGGGCTGGTGTTTAAGTTGTGAGAGGGGGTGGTTTATTGGGAGGTGAGTGATTTGAGTGGAGCGATGCAGTACAGCGCGTACAGGTATATGTTGAAGACACCCCTAGAGTCATCATGATTGCGAGGTTACGAATGTAAGAAACCTGAGCTAGCAAAATAGGAAACTATTTCCAGACGAGACAAATCATGATGAACCGAGAAATGATCGTAGACGAAGCATGGCTCTGCAACTAATTGCGAACAAGGGCATGCATATCAGACACCCCCTGGGGTACTAGAAGAGTGAAGTCACGAGTGTATAAAACGCGAGCCCGCGAATTGGGAAGGTGAAAGAGGACGAGTCGAGAGCTCACCCTGGATTGACGATAGATCCAGAACTAACTGTGGATAAAGGTACGCATATAAGACGCCCCTAGAGGTATCATAAATGAAATGTATCACATGTGAAGAGTGCGAGCCCGCAGATCAGGAGAGCGTAATCAAACGAGGCGAATATGGACGATCTAAGAACTACTCGTAGATCGATCATAGGTCTGGATCTAATTGCGAATGGAGATGCAGATGTGAGATACTCCCGAAGGTATCTTGAAATTGAGACCACGGATGTTAAGTGCGCGGGCTCGTGAATTAGGAGGGTGCCAAGGGATAAGAGAAACTAGATGGAATTTAGAATGCATCTTGTATTGGCTATAGGACGGGATATGAATGCGAACGAAGGTGTATCTTAAAGCTAACCCCGGCCCATTCAGAGCACTACATCTGGCAAAGTATTGAACCGCGATTTGCAAATTAGAAGAGGATAAAAGTGAGTCCAAATACTTGAAAATTTAGGGAACATAGAGGCTGGGGTGGCTTAATAGGCTACGTTTCCAGACTATGTGTACCTTTCTACCGCTTTCCGAGGTAGTTAAGCACGTCGACCTATTTCCGGGTTTTGTATATAGTGCGGCGACCTTGAATCATTCACTCATATCAGAGCAGCGGCCGACCGCCAGACCCTATAAATACCTCCCAGAGCGTGCTTCGAAGCTGCTTCTTTGCACTCCACAACACTGACACCTCGCAGGCAAACACACCCACCACAACAGCCATTACTCCTACATTGGAGTCTTTACATTGTCCCCGTGGGGATGAAGGTCTCCGGTCTCCTTCCCAGTGTTAACGGTGTCGGTGTTGCCCTTTCGTTCGGCAACGTTGGCAAAACCTATACCGTCAACGATCACCAAGTAAGAGATCGTTGTTGCAACTGGCGTTCTGATAGCAACGCAGAGGACAGTGACGAAGACTCCTCTGACTCCACATCTACCGAAGACTCAGAACCTTCTCGTAGCATGAAGTCACCCCAAGCCAAAGGAGATGGTGCAAAGATCATGGAAGATAGCAGTGAGTACAACCACCTCCCCACCCTTCCTCCTTCCTTACAAACATCTACTGATTAAAGCGCGACTGTAGTAGAAGTGTACGGACAGGCGGCGGCCGCTCTTGTTTCCACCAATATTCCGACGGCAGAGGAGGTCAATGGAGAGACCGGAAAAGTTGCCGAACTTGAGCAGAACAATGCCCCTGACGATACCGCAGACATTCTTGCCTTCGTGGCGGAAGACGATGGCCGCTTGGCTCGTCTCAAGTCGGCCCCCGAGTCCAAGGGCTCGCGCGTCTTGATCTGGAACCGTCAGATGAAGGGTACTCAATACCCGCACGCTCGCTATGGTAAGTAAGAGTACCACCATCTCAACATAAGCATCACTCACCTACTACTGCAGATGCTCGTCTCGGATGCCCGCCTCCCCCGTACGCCGAGGCAGCCGAAGAGGTAGTTGACTCTCCTTCTGAAACTACACCAACAGAGCCCGACCTAGGCACTGTCGCGGTCAATGACGCTGCGGCCTTCGAGACTAATGGGGTGAATGAATTAGTCCTGTCGTGCTCGGTCGGTTCCTTTTTTGATAAAGATACCTCCCCGCGCGCTGACTTCCCGGGCCCGGATTATGTGATCAAAAAGCTTCTGGAGCAGATCGAAGAAGCAGACGGCCAGCCTCTACCGAAGCCTAAGGCCAATCGTCGTGTCACATCGAAATCGTCCGTTCTAAACACTACCCTTGTTTCAGACGGATTAAATATCGAGTCTGCTCACCATGAGCTGGGTGAATATCCCGATATTGAAGATACTGGTATGAGCATCGGACGTCATTTCAAAGATGACTCCTTTTTCCGGGACACTCCAGTTCACTCTCGTCCCGCGTCACGCGCTGCGTCTCAGGTTGGCACTCACGTCGAAGACCCTAGCGGATCCGGGACTCCCTCTCGCGTTGAGTCCCGTCCTGCGACTCCCACTGGGTCCCGCATTGTCTCTCCGGCTGGATCCCGCGCTGCGTCCCACGCTGCGTCTCCCACTGGCTCTCGCGTTGCCTCTCTTGCTGGATCCCGCAGTGCCTCTCCCGCTGGATCCCCCGCTGGTTGGGAGCCCCTGCACCGTTCCCCCTCCTACGACAGCGGCAGTGGCGAGGGATCCGTCTTCGAAGTCGGTTCCCAGTTCGAACCCTCCCACCCTTACAACACCTACGTCGATGTTGGATACAACATGGAGGTGGGCCTCCGCCACAACTGGGACGTGATCACCGCCAAGGATATCGCTGGCATGGAAGACCAGCCGTATACGAAGCCGAACGAGTTCGGTTCTGAGAAGGGCAAGGTGGCCAAGGCGTGGGGATTTGTGAAGCGGTTTCATAAGTTTGCGTGGGGCTATAATGATGTTATCGATGGGCTGACGAAGTCTTTTGGGAAGTAGGGGAAGCGGGGGTGGTGCTTTTGGTGGGTTCCGGTGTTTCGGAGCACGAAGATGGGGAGTGTTGTTCGCTCGATATGCTACGGCTTGTGTTGGCGAGCCTCTTCGAGAAGGGTGATCCCGACTGACTTGCTGTTTGCTTATATGTAGTTTTACTTGGATGGGTATTACTATCTTAGTACATTAGCAACCAGCTTGGACTACAATGTCTTTAAAATGTATGTGTGAGGTTGGTGATCCTGCGGAGAAGTGATGCCCTAGGCCGTCGTTGGTCTTCGTTAAGCGCCGGGGGCGCAAACAACCCCCGTCCACGGGTGAGGCACAGCAACGAGAAACATACTGACCTCACCAAACAGCTCCAGAACACTACGCCACTCAAGGGAACGTTCGTTGTAATGGTCCTCCGCACCTGCTAGGAGCCGCTGCCAAGAATTTAACGCGCCGGAGGCAGGTCTGGGAGAACGGAGGCCAACCAACGCCACGGTATGACCGTAGAGGATTGTAAAAGGCATCAAGAAATAGATATGAATGAAACAGATAGTAGGATAGAGCTGTACAAAACATTGCTTCCAGGTTTGGGGCCAAATTGAACTCTAGGGCCCATAAAAGAAGGGAAGCCCCGCAAGAAAGAGGTCAGACCGGACTTGAGCGACAGAGAGATATATACCATACCTGCTTAATTACCGAGAAATTCCTTGGACAGAATACTGCCAGATCCCATTGAGTCGCGATCCATTCTAGCCAATATGCACATTCCATCTTCCCTTCTCATACTCGCCATCTCCGCAGTCACCATCGCTATTCCCGTCAGCAACGTAGGATCAGCCAAGCCAATACCCCAAGTATGCATGCTCGCCCAACAAGCCCATTGCCCAGAAAATCGCTAAAGGTCCACCAGATTGCCCCCCGAGATTTCCTCGACTCTATCTCCAACGCCATCACAGGCGCCATCTCCGATGCCGAAAAGGTCGGCAACATCCTCGTCAATTTTGGTGACAGAACAAAAGATTTCGTCAACTGTGTAGGAACTTTGCCGTTTACGGATTGCGTTGGCCAGTTCGAAAGCTGTGGAAAGACTGCGCCGTGGGATTGCGAGGACGGGAAGACGTGTTTAAGAGATGTCAAGGTCAATGTCGACGCGTGTTTGCCTAAATAATCGCGCAATACCTTGATAAGATGAGTATTGAATGTAGGATATTTTTCGGAGAGAGATGGTGAAGATATCATGAACCATGGTTCGAGATGGGATTCCAAGTTGCGATGATGGTATGGATGCATCGGATTTATGAGACAAAACGACAAAAAAAGAACGAAATAGGGAGAACAAACATGACTTAGACCCACATCCTCCATTGCCACCGTCCGCCATGCTCAGTGCAGCGCAACCGTATCCACCCGTCACGTTTTCTCCCTCCCATACTCCATCACTGTCTCAACAACAGCTAAAAAGTTATGATCCTGATACCACAGACGCAACCACCACCATGTACCTTCGCACATGTTCCACGTGAACTTGTGTATGGCATCTATATTCGTTCTACCCCTAAGGCCATTCTCTTCGAGGAAGCCGCAGCCAAAGATCTCCCGAACGAACCGTATTCTTGAAATGCGTTCTTCGAACGCCTGCATCCGCCGAACAAAGCTCGTGGACATGAGTGAAGTTGGCCAGTGTGAGCCCAACGAGCCTAGGTAAGCGCGGTATGCTAGCGGCGTCCAGATACAATAGAGGACACAGATACCGCAAAAGGAAGCGAGTATGGCGCCTATATCCATAGCGATATAAAACTTATCTAGGCGACTGAAGTGATGTTCGCGGGCTCGTGCAGCGAGGAAGAGGGGTATTGGGAGAATCTTTAGAAACAATAAATGCAAGTTGGGAAGAATTCCCCAGTGATGTGGGAGCAGACGGCAGCATATCAGTACCATGGCCGTTCGTGTCATCGCTGAAGATTTGGCGAAGGTATCTTTGGCGATTAGGATGATCAGGACGATAGCAACAACCTCCAGGATACCGCTCAGGAGTATGATGGGATATTTGAGGAGGAAAAATGGTTGATACATCTCAAGATGGGTAGGCTCTCGTGTTATTGGTAGTTTGACTTTGAGCTGGCTGTCGTCTGAACATTCATCAGTAGGAATCTGAAATGTAGAAGGTCTGCTCCGCCTACCATATTGAACAGTGAGTTCAAAATGCTTCAGTAAGCTTGCTTCAAGCACAGGAAGAGTATCGGATGAAGGTGCGAGCGTGTTTTGAAAAAGTCTGACATAGACACGAACCGGACAATTGTACAATAACTCAACGCATCGTACCCCAGATGGGGAGTTCGTAGCCTGACATACTTTCAAGCACGCGCCCTTCAACTCTAGATGATCCAGCTCCATATCCAGGGTTTCATGGGTGTCAAGTAGCAGACACGTATCGTGATTAGAGTCATATACGAATTCATCGTGAGGAGGGTGACATATTTCGATGACAGCTTCGAAGTTGATATCCGGATTGCGAAGAACGAATTTTTGCTTGCGGGCATACTCAGGTCCAATGACGTACACATCTACCACCGCATCATCCATGGCAACTGTGACATTGCTAAGCGTATAGCCCTTTGCTTCCCGTTTCATTGACGGCATAGCATGTATAAAGTCGTTGCTGACTGTCGAAGGCAGCCATCGGTTTTTGTGATTTTTCGTCTCTTGAAACCTTGAGCCGCGATTGAAAAGGAGAGATGCAGGCAGGTCGGTATGACTAAATAAAATTGCCATGGTCCTGAGCACTTCTTGGTCGGGGAGAACGGCAAGTTCCCGTTCGTTGAACCGTAAAATGTTGGTAAATATGGGACTTAAATCCACATAGCTAGGCCAAGATCGCCGGATGAGTGAGCACCAGAGGTACTCTAATTGGATGCACCTTTGTTTGGAAGTCGAATCCGAACCTAATGTACTATTGTTCCATCTCTTGTGTATTGCCTCTTTGCAATCTCTTTTCAGCGCGGTATAGATTCGAGCATTAAAATTTACCTGGAAGTCGTTTTGCGTGTTTGATGAAATGGGTTTCTGCTTCCAAGAAGATAGCGGTCTCTTCAAAGCATTGGAAGCACATTGAATTCTCCCCGGGAGGCGTTCTAAACTCGAAGAATATCGAAACAAAGCTGGTGCATCGTGTTCATGTTTCTTTGATATGCCTCTGGGCGTGAATGTGCCATCCAGGCACTGGAAATTGTAAGATCGAGACAGTACGATCTCTTCAATCGTAGACAGTCGCTGGGACCAAGAAGAAGAGAGCACATTGGCTAGGATTTCGCAAATATTTGATGCTCCAAGTCTTAGTTGCTGGATGCCCTCATCAAATACCAAGACCTGAGCAGCGGCGGCAAAGACGTGCCCTGCCTGTGTTGTACTTTGCTGCGATTGGGGAGCCTTACCTTGAACCGGAACGCAGAGAGTATCAATCCAAAAGGGCATGGTCAAATTAGAACCATGGACACGCCGAACTGTACATCTGGCGAGGTCGGCTTCTACGGATCCAATCCGCACTGATACGGGCCAGCCTTCGCCTATCCGGTCCGGGTCCGGTAATTGATCTAGAAGTGTTTGCAATCTTTCAAGCTGGCAATATGGAAGGCTGTTCGCGGTAGAATTACCTAGACCCTCCAATGGGTTGTGTGAGATCGCAACGTATGCAGTGGATGGCGTCGCTCTTCTGAGACGTAGATCTAACCTGCCGTGAGGATGTCGCTTGATTGAAACTACAGGTATGCCACCTTTCTCCGTGATGCAACTTAAGTCTTTCTTTAGAACGGAAATCGGAGGACAGGCACATTCAGGTTTTGTGTGAAGGGGAGTGTGGCCCGAAGTGTTGGAACTAATGATCAAACACTTCCGTTCAGAGCAATTGCTATGAAGAACATCTGTGGATACAGGTCGGCGAGACAAAGCATGGTAGTATGCAACAAAATAATCAGATTCCAAACAAATCTGATATGCCAAATGGGGACACCAGCCATTGGACTTCATCCAGACCATCAGGAGCTTCGCTGCTGGTGCGGTTTTCAGAATGACTTGTCGATAAAATGGAAATATGCGGTGTCGCATTTTATCGCGGTTGGTACTGTGATCCTGAATAAAGCGGAAGGAATCAAATGTCTCGAGGAGGAATTTTATGGATAGTAGAATCTCCGGGAGTGGCCATTGAGGGTTTTTGAGATTGCGATCCAGCCAGACACTCCAACCTAATGCGTGGTCGGTCACATCCGTCATGTCTGCGTACGATTGGGGAGCTTGTCCCGATAACATGTAGTGCTTATCCATGGATACCAAGTTTTCCAGTAATGGCTTCAATGCTGTGGTATCCAAGATGGGCCTTTGACATGAAGGCTGTCCGCTTACGGCGCTATAGCTTTTCCAGCGAGAGAACTCGTCCGGGTAGACACGTCGCTCAGCAAACGTGGAGACGACTCCAAACCACAACCATGATTGGAGGAAGGATGCGAACTCAAGTGGTGGGATCGAAAGGTCCAGAACATCCTCGTCCTCTGTGAAAAAGCCATAGCGTTGAGGAATACTAGAGAACTCCCCATCGTAGCTAATTTTAGCAACGAGAGGTATCTCTATTGGTTGAACGGAGGAAGAGAGCGGGCTCGGAAGATGATCCATACTGGACGAAATCTTGATCTTTCATATAAGATGCGAGTGTAGCATCAAGAGCTCCTCTGACTTTTATGTGAGTGAAGGGCAGTTTGGGGTGTGGCGCATAGCAGTGGGCTCAGATCCCACTACATCAGGCTGAGTGGTGCCCAGGTGGGTGCCTAGCGTGGGCTCTCCCGAGGTAAGCAAAACTCGAAACTAGCGTAGTCAAGCATGCTAGGCTACATAACAGAAAGATTGGAGACGAAGTTTGGCGACCGGGATGGCGACTTGTGGACGGTCTGACATTGTGCAAAGAGCGGTGGATGTCGGCAGTGAGGCTGAAATGAGACTAGTACTGAAGCGTCACGTGCTTGCTCCTAAAAAGGAAGTGTCTTGCAGAAGGCTGAGCGCTCCCCGCCTGGGGTACCCCTATATACTTTGAAGACTTCATGCACGATGTGGAAGGTTACCACAGTAGAAATTAGACTACCTTTTGACTGATCAGTCAGCTGCTAGCTAGGCTACTCCAAACAGTGGTATCAAGCAAGCAAAACTGAAGCTGGTGCAGTGTAATAGTCGTGCGTCTGCACGTATGGCCTAGTTTGCATCATAATATGGAAGAGAAAGAGAACATGTTTGATATATAGCGTGAAGTCTTTGACATCACCAAGTAGAAATTTGAATTCGCCAAGGAGACCTCTCAACACACAACCATACTGTCAATTGACTAGAACCAGCTACTCAATTCATGACCTAAAAGCTCTCTACAGCACTCAAGCCCCAGGTCCCAGGCCCCACCCAACCTATCTACTCCTCCACCTGATCCGCCGCTCCCTCCAAATCCGCCTCCTCCGCCTCCTCCGCCACCTCGACATCAGCCTTCTTTGCTACCCCCTTTGGCACCCTCTTCAGCCTCCCGAAGACCTCGGGCGAGGGCAACTCCCTCTTGGAATAGTAGGCCTTGTACTTCTGATACTCGAGGTTGACGGCCTCGATAGTGCGATGGCCTCCCATTCTGGCCACCCACACTCTCGTCATCTCCGTGATCGTGAATCGAGGCTCATCAGCATGCTCATTGAAGATGTCGATAATGAGTTGACGCTCCTCAACAGTCCAGCGCATGCCCCGGCGAACAGGGACTGAGGGCGCAATCTGGGGCGCGGAGCCAGACGCGACGGGCTTGAGGTTGGAATCAGACGCAGGCGGCGAGGAGAGAGGAGAGGAGACGGGATCCAGGGCTGGAGCGACTTCGGTTTGGACGACAGGAACAGGCGCGGGGGTGCTCGCGACGGCGACATGATGGTGGACTTTGCGCTTCTTCTGGATGTGCATTTTCTTGCGATGCCAGGAGGTCTCGGCGTCGCTCTCGTCCTCGCTGAGCGTCTCGTAGGGGTCGTGGTGGACTGGTGCGCGGTTGCGACGGCGGATGCGGATGTATGCGCGTGCAGTGAGCCTCTGGTTCTTGTCAGTCTTGAGCTTCGCCTTGATAGCTTTCTCCGCAGCTTCGTAGAGTTCGGGATAGAGCTCCTTGTTGCGCTCATGACGCTCGGAGGGAGTCAGGTCTTCGTCGGTGCGTTGGGCGGGAATCTGTCTGCGCAAGACGGGCGGGGAGTGCGTAGTCGGGGAGCTGCCATGGCTGGTGATTTGGTCTTCGCCTGGGGTAGCGGTAGCGATATCGGCAGCGGATGATCTCTTGCGTGCAGTCTGGTATTGGTTAACAGCGCGTTCTTACGGGAATTTGGGGAGCTTTTCTGTACCTTTGGATCGGGGGCCGGGCCGACAGGCTTGTTGCCCTTCTTTCTCTCGTAAACTCCGCGAGGCATCTTGTACAGTTGGCGCGTAGCGAAATGTATGAAGATAGTGATGCGGGAATGCGCAAGATATTGAATCGGTGCACGGCGAAATGTTTCTAGACAAACGTGGCAAGACTGTATGTATAGCTTTGGAATAGAGTCGCGGTTGCGAAGGAACTGGATGGTTGGAGAAGAGGATGGGTGATGGTTGGAGGAGAGAGGAAGCAGTCGACGCGACGGAGAAATATATACGTAGGCGATACTATTGTGCCGACATACAATAGCAAGTGCCAGTCAATCGTGCGATGGTATTGCGTCACAATAGGTAGGCTGGCTATTCGAGGTGAATGCCAAGACTGCCATTCTTCACCTCCCGCCGTTGACATAGCAGTATACGTATAACTAACCGTAATATACACAAATGCAATCACGCAGGATGCCTAAACGCTCATACGCTCACGGGATGAATCGCATTGATGCCCCTGACAATTCCATACGAGCTGCTCGCTGCAAGAACTCCCACGAACAAAGTTTGCAGCGCGCTCCACACTGCAGTCTTCCTGTCCGTTCCCGTGAAGATGGCTTTGACATACCCGAAGGATAACAACATCACGACCGTGATCCCAATGGAAGCGAATAGCGCGTAATTGACTTGGTGGAGTGCGAAATAGGGTATCATCGGCACCAGGCCGCCAAAGAAGTAGGACAGGCCCATGACGACCGCGGAGATCCAGGCTCGGGATGTTTCTGGTTTCTCGAGGCGGAGTTCGAAGTCCATCATGAACTGTATGAGATCTTAGCATGTTGGCGTTATCAAGAAGGGGCGATGTATACTGACTCTGACCCAAGTCTCCTTATCTGTCTTCAGGTGTTCCACAAACGGCCGAACGACTTCGCGTTTCATTTTGTATTCGGCAAAGATCTCGTAGATCTCTTCCTCCTCAGCTTCAGGCTTCTCGTTCACTTCCATCTTCTCTCGTGCTTCCTCGACTTGATAGTGCTTACGCTCTGTCACAGCGGCAAGGTATCCACCGAGGCCCATAGATATTGCGCCAGCGAAGAGCTCCGCAAGGCCACCGAGAATCACCAGTCGTGCGGAGCCTATGCTATGATACATCAGTAAAGGCCTTCAAAGTACCCATGTTACACAACACCAGGGAGAGAATTGGGTATACAAAGAAATGCATGTGGATGTAGTGCTGATGATGACGAGGAGAAAGTAAAGATGTAACTTACCTCGATAAACCGGCGGTCAAGGCGAACGGCACTGTCAACCCGTCCGCGAAACCGATGATGGTATCGCGGACGACTGCCCCATGCTTAGTGTGATGTTCTGCATGCGGAGCTGGGTTGACTGCCGTGGATTGACGTTCCAAGTCAATGTCGTCAAAGGGCGCTGTGTGACTCGACGGAGCACTTGTGGGTTCCACCGAGAAGTGAGGCATCATGTCGACAGGATTAGGTCGTATTTCCGAAGGTGTTGAGGTTGGGCGAGGAGCCTCAGAGCTTGCCAGGTAGCGGTGGGCGATAGTGGCAGAAGTTTCGAAAGAGTGCTTTTATTGCAGCGGAACGACTTCCGTGATATAAGTTAGGAGAGAGTCCACGTAATCAGTGAGTCCTGCAAATATGCCTCGATTAAGAGCTATATTATCACAAGTCTAGGAAGGTTGCCTGATCTGCCCTTTCTTCACTCGACTGAGGTATATCAAGAAGTTGCTGGTAGCTGGGGGTAGGAAGGTGCAGTGAAGAAACTGAAGGAATCAGAGGAGCACAGCACAAAGGTTGAAACAGTCAAGTGAGGCCGTAGTCGAAATTCCTTGCTAGCCCTTTATATGTATGGGCGAATTACTGGAGTTGGAGAGTATCACGACTGTTGCGCCGACCAATGAGAGCAAGGGTATTTCAAAGAAATCTCCAAACCTTTGTGCAGATGTGGCCGCGACGACGCCATTGTGGCTGCTCGATCTGATAAGAGCGGCTCCAAGAAAAGCATCTTGGGCGGTCAGTTCATCAGTTATACGAGTTTTAGCATTTTACCTCATTTTGTTGTGGATATGGCCTGTTGGTGCTTGGAATGGCTCATTTTCTCCTGTATGGAGGCTAACAACTGAGACGCTGCTCACGGCTTTAACTACAGCTTGGGAAAGGGTTAAATCTAGCCATGAAGCTGTTTTTGCGATGGAAAATGACTTCACAATGAGTGGCTGATGGCATTGCGATGTTGGAGGCGTGGAGTGATGAGGAATGAAGGTTCTTCGTGGGAAAGCCTGAAGCCAAGAGCATAACCACGTGACACATCGCAAGGCATGGAATCAGAATACAAAGAGTTACTAGCGATATATGATTCGCGGATAACATTATGCCCAATTTAGTTTGTTGGCGTAGAATGGGTTTTCTAAGCACAGTTCAAGTTTCTTACTGAGAAGCACTACGACTATGCCTAGTATATTAGACGACTGATCCAAGAACCACCATTGCATTTTGAAAACTATCTTCATCCCTTCAAAATATCCCAACCATCGTGCGCAAAATCGGATCAAACAAAAAACCACAAGACTTTTCTCCCACGAAAAAACTATGTACTGTGTAACCCTCATCTCATTCCCGCACCGTCCTCCCCCTACCGCCTTCACAACCCTAACAAATCGGACAACATTTCCCCAACACCGTCACAGTCGGCGTATTTGTACATTCCGCCCCAACCCTATCTTCGCTCCTCTCCTTTACCCCCGCCACGCTCGTAGCCCTAGGCACACGCTGCACACAATACACCTCATCACAATTTGCCGGCTTCGTCCCCGTAGCCGTAGGGCAAGACAGCGTCGTCCCAGCTGTGCCATATCCGGATGATTTCGGAGTCGCGCAATCAGCACCACACGTTGGACACCCGGCATAGAACGTAGCGGTAGTCGTGCTGCAGTCCTCGCGCGCTTCAAGATCACGGCGTTCTGGCGCCTGCGCGGGGGAGATCGGGCAGAGAAACTCGTCTACGAAGCAGCGGGTGGGGACGCAGGGGGGACGATGGTTGCTGTGGTTGTGACGACGCATGTTAGTCTGGGAGCTCTTTTGTTCTTGTTCCAGCTTACGCTGGCTTTTGGTGGGCCCCACCAGATCTGGGGGTCTGCTTCTGGCAAAGGCGTGGGCTCTGGTTCTCTTCTCTCATTGTACCAGCTGATAATGCCCTTCGGCGGTCCCCACTAGATCTGAGGATCTGCTTCCGGACCCGTCTCGCTAGCTGCGAACGCGCAGCTCCAACTTGGTACTGTGACCGTACTTGTGATAAGCAGACAGCCTTTTCTACATGTTAAGACCGTTGGGCAGGCTTCCGTCGTCGTGACAGTCGGTGTGGTCGGACATGCGGGATTTGGCCCTGGGACAGTCGTTGTCGTGATGATCGCGCACTCAGGCACTACGCAAGGACGAGACAGGGCTGCGAGAGAAGGACAAGAGAGCAAGGCCGGAACGCTGTGGGTATAGCCCGGAGGCGGGACACAGTTCGGATCTGTGGTCGTCGCGGGCGCGGCACCGGTAGCTGGCTCGTCAGGCTTCTCCCAGCTCACATACGTGGAATTGGTCGCGACGGGTTCAATGGTGACGCTGACTTGGCTGCTTGGGGTGCCAGTTTCCCAGCTGACTCCGCAGTCGTAGGAAGTGCCTGTCTCGGTTGTTGTCACGACGAGACAGCTTGTTCGGCAAGTGGCTGTGGTTGGGCAGGCGCCGTAGGAGGTGACGATTGGAGTAGTTGGATAGGCTGGATTAGGGCCGGGAATGGATATGTAGGTGATAGACACGCATTTAAGTTCATGGCAAGGTGTCGTCAGAGCTGGTATCAGAGGGCAATTGATCCTGCCGGCAACGGTTTTGGTGTAGCATGTTGGGCACGGACCAGCGAGAGCGCTGGAATAACTGCAGTAGGCGATAGATTTTAGCTTGTGACAGCAAGTATTCAACACTCATTGACACGTTTTGTTGCAAGGGGCAATGAAGGAAAGTATTATATGAAGGTGACGTTATTCTTCATTCCGCCTGGTCACCTGAGTTTTCAAAAACTACTTTGAACATGTGAAAATAACGAGGAAGGGCAATAATATCTAGCTCGCTTTTATTTCGCGGGCCGCAGATTGCACATGTGCCGCGTCCGGGCATGCAGAAGTGTTCAGCAACACTGCGGAATAATCGTAGAAAGGTGACAAAAAAGTAAAAATAGATTTACATATGATACACAATGTAAGGGAGATCATTTGCAGACCGGGTATTTTATATTGATAAAGGTCGCTCCGCAGATCCGGTAGTTGCCGAGATGGTTATGAATGAAATGGGCCGGGCATATGCAAGGTACACATAGCAGGGTGCCAGTAAGGTGATCGAGAACACCTCGTCCATGTGTGTGACGACCGAGGGCACGCAGTACGAACTTCTCAATGGGCACTATACATGGAGAGGAAAAGCGCTATGGCCTCGTATATATCGAAAGGCACATATGGAGTGGAATAATTTTTTGTTTCTTGGGTAGGTCTGGCAATCAAGTTAGTCTAGTGTGGATAGTGCTTGGCGTCGTCATCCTTTGTAAGAAGTATTTGTACGGTGTCGGGGCGAGGTGAGCCAGGATTTCTTCCTATATTGGAACAGAACCAGCCCAGAGATTGGATTTCCAATTGCGCACTACCCTTGGTATGACAAGGCGTATGGCAGACTAGGAAAGAAGAGCAGCTTAGCCGCTGGTGGGAATCTCGTTGACTAAATTCTCCAAAGGCCACTTTCGAATAGCGCGAATAGAGTAGCCATCTTCAAAGCCGGCCTCATACATCTCCATTCCGGCCCAGGCTATCATAGCAGCGTTATCCGTGCAAAGGCTTGGCGGTGGGAAGTACATGCTCATGCTCTGATAGCCGTGAGCAGCAAGGTTACTCGCCAGACTAAGAGCTTTAGCGTTCATCGGGAGATGTCTAAGATGAAGCAACTTACATATGTCTCAAGTAACCGTTTGATGCTACGCCTCCACTGACAACACAAGACATCAGTTGACTTGCTAGGTCAGGGTTTGTCAGCTTTATTTGGTGTAATCCGAGAACAACACGGCTAGCTAGATGCTCAAAGGCAGCTCGCATAGCTTCTCGAGCCATGGTCTTGCGCTCAATAAGGCTGATTAAGTCCGCGTCTCTTTCTACGTCGGTGATCTTCCCGGATGTCTTGTCGAAACAGAACTTCACAGCACGCTGAACGGCGGTTGTCAACCCGGAGAAGCTGAATTCTAAGCTATTGTGCTTTGCTCCTCCGGCCGAGTTTGAAAGCGGTGGACTGAACCTCCAACCCCACTCAGTCACTGGCTTGGAGTCACCCTTCTTCTGATTACTAGAGGCGTCGTAGTGATATTCTTGGACGTTTGTATCTGAGAATCTGCGCAACAGGTAATCTCCCGCAGTAGTGTGTTCCATTTTATATGGAGGCTTGTAATTTGCATACCCGTCCCACCATAGACGGTCTTTCACAACGTTGGCGGATGGGTCCATTTTGAGTTTTTGTTCTGAAACATTATCCTCGGAGATATCGGCAAATGCAAACTTCTCAAGCAAAGCACCATACATAGTGCCCTCGGCCCGTTCAAGGTATTCTTTTGGAAGCACCACACGAGCAACTTTATCCAAGAACTGGCCTATGGCTATATCAGCTGTTGATGCAAGAACTCTGTGCTCCGTAAGTGACTCAGATAGTACAAGTAGGGTATGACCGCCAGAGACTAGGACCGAGAGAAAGGGGAATTCGGGAATCCTTGGGCCAGTATCGCCATGTTGCCAGGAAAGCCTTGACTTCACGGGCTGTAAAGCAGCAACAAGTCGAGGTGTGAGAGCATGTGCTTGCATGTGATGGACTCCCACCAGAGGTATTTGCCATGCTACTGCCAGACCTTTGGCTGTGTCGATGCCAGTGCAAAGGTTGGAACGCATTCCCGGACCGCGGGTAACAGAGATGAAATCTGGGTGTCTTTTGTTTTTGGCTCTTGAAGGATGCTCTGGATCACTTTCCTGGTACTCTTTCCCATCCCTAAGGGCTTTGGGCCCGCCCTCTGAGCCAAAGTCGTGGTTTATAATTGCTCCATTAACATACGGTGGGTTATTCATTGGAAGTTCCCGGATCGCTTCATTCACGAGGTCTGCCAGAGATACTTGATGGGATTCGAGGGCGACGAGCGGATGAACTCCTCCGAAAGCTGAGCTGTTGGAGGTGATTTTCTTATGAAAGTGGAGGACGGCGCGCGGTTCGCCTTCATGAATGGCTCTGCTTGAGGTCCTTGTCTCCAGGACAGCTACGGCCGTGTCATCGCAAGATGTTTCGATAGCGAGAGTTATGAGAGTCCGATGATGGCGGATAAGGAGGCATTTGGGAGTTGTTTGAAGGAGCGTTTGACGGATGCTGGGAGGAAAAGCCAGGATACGGGATACGGGAAACATGGAAGGGTAGACTAATGGGCTGCTGTGCATGTTAGCCTCGGTACTTGGATTCAGTAGTATAGCTGTCTTCTTTGGCAGAACAGCACGACTTACCATCAATTGGTGGTGGACGCGTGAGAGAACTTCTCTGGTGGAAGGACGGGCCTGAGGGGCCGAGCATAACCCTAACCCTAACCACCTATTATCGTTCAGCATCTGTCAGCATCTGTTCTGGTCTTTGCCTAGTCTCGCATGGAGCTACTGTAGCACGTTAAGCATAATTACTGCAGCGGGTGCTGGGATGTGGTTTTAGCCGTCGGTCAGGTACCTATGCGGTGGCGTCACGGGCATTCATTCTTTCCTCGGGGCTCTGCCTAAATCTCACGATACCACGCCATGCATACTCCCTCGCCGCCTATATACCTCTGCCCCATGATGCTCCGCATGTAGACCGCTATTCCTTCTTCTCATGGCCGATGTCAAAGAGCAGACGGATGGGCCTGCGCCTAACTCATCCCCCGCCTTCGACGTCTCCCTTCTTCCGGACTACGACGACGACTTCATAAACGAACCAGACTTTGATGAGTTCACAAGAGCCCTCGCCGCCCCGGAGAACTCCCCCTCGACCGACGATCTCACCGCCCCTCCGCCCGAGCCAAGGACCTTCATAACCGCCCTCAACGACTGGCGGCCCATACACCAGCGCGTTCGGAGACGGAAGAAGCAGAAGAAGTCGCCGCGGCGAGGCAAAGACGAGACGCGGGAAGGCTTTGTGTATATCTTGCTCAAATGGCCTCTTCTCATTCTCGTGTTTGGCTGGCTGATCTTCCTCGGCATATCTTACTTGCTCACGCGAGTGTACATCTATCTCTATGAACATTGGATCACATGGCGCGGCCGGCGAGAGCGATTACGGAAGGCGCTGCAGAGCACACAAACATATCAGGAATGGGTCGACGCTTCAAAGGCGCTCGACGCTCACCTCCGCAATGACGCGTGGAAAAAGGTGGATGAATACGCGTACTATGACAGCAAGACCGTTCGGAGAGTGACAGACCAGATGGTCAAATTGAGGACTCGGATTGAGGCTGGCCAAGACTCTCAAAGGGCTATAGAGGAACTCCGAGGGCTTCTCGAAGCATGCGTCAAGAATAATTTCGTCGGATTTGAGAACCCGAGGCTATACAGCGAGACCTACTATGGAACGAAGAACTTGGTTCAGAGCTTTGTGGACGGACTGGAAGCGTCGCTAGAGCTTCTCTCTCGAACAGACTTGCTAGATCAGGATAGCAAGCGGGCCATGTTTAAGCACCTAGGGACTAATTTCGGACGCACTGCCCTCTGTCTTTCTGGAGGTGCTACATTCGCATACTATCACTTCGGTGTCGCGAAGGCGCTTTTGGATGCCAATCTAATGCCCGAGGTCATCACCGGCACTTCAGGAGGAGCTCTTGTGGCTGCACTCTTAGCTACAAGGACGGATGACGAACTCAAACGGCTTCTAGTGCCCGCTCTCGCCTATCGTATCACTGCTTGTCACGACGACACTATAACATGGATCAAACGCTGGTACCGTACTGGGGCCCGTTTTGACAGTGTTGACTGGGCGAAGCGATGTTCATGGTTTAGTCGAGGAAGCATGACTTTCCGAGAAGCCTATGACAGAACGGGGAGGATCCTGAACGTGTCTTGTGTACCTTCTGATCCTCATTCTCCGACCATTCTCGCAAACTACCTGACATCTCCCGACTGTGTCATATGGAGCGCAGTGTTAGCATCAGCTGCAGTACCAGGTATCTTGAACCCCGTCGTGCTCATGAAGAAGAACAAAAACGGCACGTTGGCCCCGTACTCCTTCGGCCATAAATGGAAAGACGGGTCTCTGCGGACAGATATTCCCTTAAAAGCATTGAACCTCCATTTTAACGTTCGATTCAGTATTGTCAGTCAAGTCAATCCTCATATCAATCTCTTCTTTTTCTCTTCGCGTGGCTCTGTTGGCCGACCTGTAACTCACAGGCGCGGGCGAGGCTGGCGAGGCGGCTTTCTAGGGTCTGCAACGGAGCAGTATTTGAAGCTGGACTTGACAAAGTGGCTCAAGGTTCTACGACACCTTGAGCTACTACCGCGGCCTTTAGGACAAGACTGGAGTGAAATTTGGCTCCAGAGATTTAGCGGCACAATAACGATATGGCCGAAGTCCATCCCATCCGACTTCTACCACATCTTGTCAGACCCCTCACCCCAAAGACTGGCCCGAATGATTCACGTTGGGCAACAATCCGCGTTTCCAAAACTCAAGTTCATCGCAAATCGTGCCAAGATTGAGCGTCTAATCCAAGAAGGCCGCCGAGCTACCAGACCCGCTCGAAACCAAGATGGAACGCTCATGAATGTTCTATCGGAAGACGATCTCCAAAGCATTCTTCGCACATCCAAACGCGGGAGAGGTAACACTACATTGTCCGCAACCTCATCTTCCTCGGACTCTCCACGCACACGTCCTGGCTCCCCTGTGGATCTTCCTCTTGGCTTCTCCTTCACCAAAGCCTCTGATCGGGGCAAGACGACTGCAATCTCACCTGGAGGTAGCACCTCACGACCTAAAGACGCTGATGACCAGCAACCGCCAAGCCCAAGTCTCAGCAAACGCATTACAGGCTGGTGGTCCTCTATCGCACCTCCCACCCGTGAGCGCAATCGTCCACGTGGTCTATCCCGAAAGTCTAGCCGCCAAGCTCACGGCCAGGCTGCACATTCCCCGTACGGGTATGCCGACCGACCAACGTCGATGTTCGAGCTGCGTCCGCCACGCGAAGAAACACTGGAGGAATTGTATGCCCGGACTGGCGCATCGCCAAAACATAAAAGACAGGGCAGTCTGTTGAAGGAGATAAAGCGACAGAGCAGAGTCTTCGTAGACGACAGCACCACTGACGACGACGACGATGATGATGATGATGATGAGTATGAAAAGAAGCGGGCTAGTGGGAGCTCAGGTCGACCCAGGAGGTCGAATAGTGACGCTGAAGGCGGTGCCGAGTTCAAAGGCTCCAATGACTATGTTAGCGACGCTGGCGACGAGCTCGAGGACGACGAGAGAGACAGTGACGGAGAACCTGAGGATGAAGCGACACAGCAGTTCTTAGGGAGTGGAAAGGGGGGGGACCAGAGGCACGATCATTGGGTGGATCTGGTTCCAGAAGCGAGGCATTGACAGCGGCGTATTGCATATTGCTCTTCTGATGGGGCCGGAAAAGGCCATGAAGCAGCCGTCTCAGGGCTTGTACTACCAAATTATATGTTAGATATCTATCAAAGGCAGTATTGGAGATTTTGTTTGGCCACATGAGGGTCCTGCTTCGCTTCCTACTCTGTATGAAGCACATGCAAAACGAAACATAACACTCGATTAGAGCGAACGCGTCCAATCACGTAGCTCGTACCGATAATTCCATGAATTCTGCCCGCCGAATTTCCCCATTTGCATGACGTGGCCCAATCAAACGCGCCGCGGCTTGGCACTTCAATGGTGGCCCTTTGCACATCCCCGAAGCTACTATCCATAGTTCTCCTCTCCACCCTCTCCACCCTCGCCTCTCCCACGCCGCTGTATCCAACACCGGCACCATGAGCGGCACGGGCGAGAACAGGTACGTTCCCATCTCCGAGTATTCAACCGTGGAACCCTTTCAAGCTTTGTCCCCTTTCGCCACCGTGCTTCCTGCAATCTCGAGCTCCCTCTAACAAACCACGAATAGGCACTGGCGCCGCTCCTCCCAACAACCCCAACCCCAGCAGCAACAGCAGCGAGGCGACGCCCGCTCTGGCGCGAATACCCCCCGCGACGGGCGCGCCCAGCCGCTGACCGCGGTGCCCGGGAACGTGTGGGGCGTGGAGGGGAAGGGGAAGCCTGCAGTTGCGCTGAGAGGAGGGGAGAGGACACCCGATGGAGCGTCTACGCCTGTGAGGGCGCCCACGGCGCCTACGGCGCCGGCGGCGCAGGACAATCATATACCGGTTAAGGAGTTCAATGCTGGGGAGGTCAAGGAGTTCTTGAAGAAGAGTGAGTGGTTCTGTGGCGCTCTGGGAACCGGAGGGGAAATGGATGAGTGCTAATGATTGGGCAGGGTACCAGGAGGCGGTTGCAGGTATGAGCTCTGTCTGTGTTGGAGTGAGTGGTTGAGGGGAGTGCTAATAGGAGCAGATCAACCGTTGGCACATTATAAGGTTGCGGGCGATTCAGTTGCGAAGAGGAGTAGTGGTGCTTGGGGCTCGCGAGGTATTCTCTTCTCCCTTCCGCACATATATTCGCATACAGACAACATATTGACGAGCTCAATGCAGGCAACATGAGTCACCAGATGCCAAACGGCCAGGACTTCTTCACCCAGCTGAAGAAGCAACTTCAGGCCCTCGATGCTTCCAAGGGCTAGCAGCACCCGCCACACGCCCGGTGGCTCGTTCACGCGCAAAATTTCGTATTCAGCGGCATAGGCATATTCCTGGGGCATTGCCGGAGTTCGTGTGTTTACATGTCTTTGGTTTGGCTTGATATGGGTTGGTTGGGTTTCGGCTTCTTTGCGAAATTCTGAGATTCACGGCGGCGGCTTTGGCCGTTTTGAGGCATATGCGAGGCTTCTGGGGACTATGTCTTCTAGAAGTATCACAACGAGGGGATGTGTTGGTGGATTGAGAGGCGAAGGCATTAGAAGTGGTGTCTTGTATTGATACAGGCCCTTCCCGGTCTCTATTGTGTGGGAGGATACCCCTAAACCCGTGAAAATTGTGTTGGAGGTGTGAGATTCAGCGATGGGAAAAGGAAGCGGGTGCTTCATAGCTTTGACTGAGGAAGGATCATTTCGGGGGTCTACAATTCTTGTGGATTACCGTATTGGAACCAAAAAGCACGCCTAGTGTGGGCGATCAGAATTGTCCACCTCCTATATGCAACCAGAATGAGCATTATCCTTGAACATGGGGGTTGTTATGAGCTAGGATGAGTGGTGATATAGCTTCGGTCGTGTCGTGGCTCGAGGATGCGCTGTTCCTCCTCAACAACACTTCCGCCAGTCGCAATCGACAATCTGACCAGATCTCTTCCACCACACGCCCATCTCTCTCGCATATTTGAAGCCTCATACGTAACCTTCAAGACTCCAGGCGGACGAAATTCCGAGTCTCATTCTCCAGAAAAGCCACTGGGCAAGCTCTCCGCCCGCGGAAGCCAAGCCGAAGCCACAACCTCCTCCGTATCCGCATTCGGCACCGCCTCTAGAATATATCTACGCGTCGCGGCGCCCTTATAACCACGACTACGCCCAATCAATCCGTACACTGATTTTCTACTGCTCTCTCTCCATTCACAATCATGTCCTCACCACCACGAACCCCCGCCAGCCGCCCAACCTCACATCGTCGTCAACCTTCTAGCATCGACATTAATCGCCGCTCCTCAGGTGCAGCATACAGCCCCGTAACACCCCGTTCATCACACGGCTTCCAAGACTACGGCGACGTGGGCGGAGATGGAGGCGGCGAAGGCCTCGGGAGTCTCGCAGACGAACTGGCCGACGCATGGGACGACGGCGAGGAAGGCGACGGCTACGAAGAGGAGGACCAACCACTCGCCCAGAGCGTCAATGGCGACGAACCTCACTTGAACGGAGTTAACGGCGTGCCCCGCGACTCCGGCGTCGTGCTCGCGTCGTCGCCGGAGGTTGAGAAGACGCTGAGTCCGGCCCGCGCGTTGCGGAATAGCAGACATCGCCGGAAGGAGTCGATGTATGATGGGAGCGATTACGGGGATGACTCGGATCTGGAGACCAGCGAGGGGATATCGGCGGGGCTGGAGGCGCGTATGGCGGCGGTGGAGAGTCTGGCGAGGCGGGGCATGGAGATGAATGGGAGTGCGGCGGATGGGGTTGTGGGACGGGTGACGGAGCAGCTGAGGGATTTGGGGAGTCAGGCGGGGGTGGAGAGTGGTGCTACGCGGTATGTGTGCTCTCCTTGGTCCATCAAGCCCTCAAAATAGTTCGAGTCTCAAGCAATCTCAAAAACAGAAGGTATATACCGAATGCTAACGCTATCATAGCCTCACAACCGCCCACTCAGCTCTAGGATCCCACCTCACCCACCAAACCCGCACCCTGACCTCCCTCACCTCCTCACTCCTCTCCCCGCTCGCCATCACCACCGGCATGCTCGACCCAGACACCATCGACGCCCTCCTCCCCCTCATAACCACAACCCTAGAACTCCTCCCCCAACCCCCCTCCGAACCCCTCTACGCCCTCGCCCAACTGACAAACCAAACTCGCGACCTCCTCCACACACTCTCCTACCTCTCCGACTCGCTGCACATGAGCCGCCAGGCCACGGGCGTGGCCACACGCCGCCTAAAGAGCGTCCAAGCCGCCGTCGGTGAATGGCGTAAAGAAGATGAAGCACGCGAAGAAGGCGTGCGGTTCATCGAGCGTGGTGAGTGGGAGAAGCGGCTCAGCGAGCGGGAAGCAGAGAAAGTGTGCGCCGGCGTTGTTGGCGGGTTCGAGGAGGTCTGTGGGATGTGGCGGGCGCGGTTGTGCGAGGGGTTGGGAGTAGCGAGTGCGTGAGCATGTCTCCAAGATTTGACTCCGTATCTTTGCTTCCAATAAGCAGGCAGGGTAGGATTCGAGGATTTGTTCTGTTTTTACGTTCGCGGACGGCGATGGGTTCTGCGCTGTTTCGCCCGTTTATGGTCATGATCTACATACCCTACGCATTTTTTCTTTTGTTTGGGTTGGGATGGGGTGGGGTTGGGGATAGGTTGGTAGAGGCGTACTTCGGAGGACTTGGGGCATCAATAGGGATTGGTTTCGACCAGCCGGAATACATTTGCATCAGCGCTGTCGTTTCCCTCTTTTGTATCGCAGTAGATATTAGACGCATTATCTCTCGATCGCAGTACGGTTAGTGGCTTTCAGAATTAGATCGTTATTCACTATTTTATCTTCCGTCATTCTTTAAGAAAACCTGTGGAAGTCGAGTAAACCATTGTAGACGGCTAGGGAGCAAGAGACGTTCTCCAGGATCGAAATTTTCCGCCCTAGCGTGCATGGGAAGCAGTGTGATGATCGGAATCCGTATACTATTGGCACGTGGAATTGGTCCAAACGCCCCAGACTTCCTTCCCTAGACGAGACAGGTGAAAGGGCGGAGGTGAGATGAGGAAAATGGAGGTGGGCGTGTTCCAAATGCCTCAGAGGGCTTTCAAGACGTGAGACAGGAAAAAAAAAGGGCAGAGGTGAGATGAAGTGAGGTGAGGCGAGGCAGAGATCCCCGCCTCGCTGGTTAGATATCACGCGTGATGCTTATTTACTGTGAGCTTCCCCTCTACATCCATATAGCTGAGTCAATTTTGCGCTCAATTCAACTAACCACAGTGCCGCCCCGATGGCGAAGTGCGGTCCGCGTCTGGTGACGTTGCGAGGCATATCATCCTCAGCGGCCTGTGTCCTCAATTCGAGGACACTTGGGGTTTGGGGTTCGATTCCCGCAGCTGGATTGCCGACATAAATTTGTCGAAGAGTGGCGGCGAACCATAATCCCTTGATGGGGTTCGTCAGAGTGCTCAGGAGGGGGGCGCTCGGTAAGGTAAGTTTTTTTAATCTTTTTGCTCATGAGGTGTTCTGTTTTGGCGTGGGGGAGGGTTAGGATAAAATGGGGTCGTGATAGGATGTTCACATTCACTCTGCTCGAACGCGCAATATTTCGTCCCCGCCATTTAATAGCTTAATACTCATCTCGATTTTTAGCTTCTCTCTCTCAAGAATTTACCCCCTAGCTTCTCATTTACCGCGACCTCGCTCCGGGAGCCCTCACTCCTCACTCACCATCCCCGTAAGCCTAAACACACCCCAGCCACAATTCTCCTCCGCAAACTCCCTCAAGTCAATATCCACGAACCCCGTCTCTCTAAACCCCAACCCCAGAAAACCCCGCCTCATCTGCGGCTCCGAGCACACATACACAGGAACTCCCGCCTGCTTTCCCCTCTCAAGCAACAGCTTTATCAAGCTCGACCATATCCCTCGTCCCCTATGAGACGGCTTGACATAGCTATGCGTCAACTCTACAAAGCCTCATTAAAAAGAGCCCCTTCACAAGGTGCAGCGATAGCACTCACCCAAATAGTCCACCCCCCTTCCCTCTATCCCCGCCTCAAGCTCCCTCGCCGCACGCACAACACGCTCATGCACCTCCGGGACCATATACTCCGGCACCTCCCCCTTCTTCGTTGCTGCCTCCCCCTCCCCTTCCCCCACTTCCCCTTTCCCAGTCTTGCGCGTCATAACGAGGCGCCCCACAATCTCCCCAGTCGCGTCATCAACGACCTTCAGCCGCTCGCTCTCCGCGGCCTGGTGTGCTGCCTCAACCACCTTGGCGCAGTGCGCCAGCTGCACCGCTTCATTCGGCCAGTCCTTGTACAGGAAGCGATTGATAGCCAGGGGGAGCTTGGAGGCCGCGAGCAGGGCGGAGATGGTGGGGAGGTCGGGGGTGGTGACGGGGTGGAGGGAATAGCCTGGCGGGAGGGTGGACATTTTGGTTGCTTGGAGGGTCTGGGAGATTGTTTGTGGTAGAGTTGAGAGCTTGTTGTGTTCTTTGCGTTGGAGGAGTAAGGAGGTTGATATGGTGCCCTTAAATGCGCCTAGGATACTAGGCAACGAAATTCTTTTATAGATTATGGAGTCTTGGCGGAGACGAGACGTAACGTATTGCGCGTTCTATTCAGGCTGCTGCCGATCGGGTGAGCAGATTGCGGTAGTGCTGATTTTGAGTGCATTTCGTTTGCTTGCGTGATAATTTTACCGATGGTGTTTGTCTGAACTCGATGGATGGATCGTGGGTCATGTAAGGATAGAAAATAGAAACGGATCACGCCAACCTCGCCACCAGCGACCTCACCTCCGGCCTCATTAGACGCAATACAGTCTCTTGTTAGGGTAGAGTTGGTAGAAGGGAAGCAGTACATGAAGGTTAGGGCGAAGGGCCGAAAGCTGTAGCCTAGCCTTGGAAGAATGGAATGACAGTTCCGAGTGTTTCGGCAACATTATCGAAAGATGATGAAAACTAAGCCTTCTCCTAATTGCCTTCTTTATAGCTGACAGGTCATCATGCCCCGCTCATCAACAGCGTACCGAAGCTGGATTTACAAAATTGGGAAATGTCACGTGATATGCTCACATCATGATAGACATATGTACATGCATTAGGTATGGACAGTGCCTAAACATAGGCCTGCACACGTTGAGGGCCATGGCAGGCACGTGTATGTAGCCTCACCTTCCTCTACGCCTCTCTCTCGTCTACACCTGGGCATCCTCATCATTTTCATCGAAATACAGCATGTACGAGGTCTGCTCTTTCCTGTTATGTGGCAGCTAATGCTAAGGATAAACAATCCCTACTAATATAGCGTAAAGAATCTAGGCTTCTACAAACAGCATGAGGATGTTGAAACCTGGGCCTAGATCACGTGCTTAGTAGCTCATATCTCTCTCTTTGGCAATTGGTTCATCCATCCTGGCTATAAGTCTCAAGGAGCCATATACTTCGAATTTGAAATGTAAGCTATAGAAATGATGTATCGGTTTCAAATAGAAAAGATGTGACGAGAGAATATTGGAGGACAATGGAGAGAATGGAGTGACGTTGAATTTTCTTTTCGAAGCCCAAATAGATACACTGCCAAGGCCTTCCTAGCCACAATTGCGGTGACACAGCACCACGCTTGCAAGGCCCTATGTCATTAGTATTGCAAATTTCAAAGAAGCTTTTTCCACGGGTTCAAATGTTGACTCAATGCCTGGCGCTAAACCGAGAGTTGTATTAAAAATTAGTATCCGAGGTAAGATGAAATGCTACAGGCTACAGTTGTGACCTCACTCCGCTAGCAATATCTTGAGCACGATAGGACCTCTACGATTTGCCATGATCATGTAGAATTGCCATAATCATACAGATACCCACAGTTGCCGTTGCTAACTTGGTAACCAGAGCTGTAGGAGTCCGAAGCTATGAAGAACGAACTGGTCGAGCTTTGGCTATCGCACGTGCGGGCGGGGTTATGCAGCAAGTAGCAGCCGCCATTTTGCCAGGCGGTGCCGGTACAGTCGACTTTGTTGATGCATAGTGTACAGCAGTCGTAAGAGCTCGTGGTTTGTGCGAAGTCGTAGATAGTTGCTGCATTCGGACCCATGTTGAAGACGTTGTAGATGTAACGGTTGCCAACTGGGCCAACAATGTTATCGGCGGAGCAAGCTGCGAGACTTGTAGCTGCAGCTGCAGCTACTACGGTAGTAGTAGTCGTAGCTGTCTCGGTGAAAGACAGAGTCTAGGGAAGTTAGTGGGAGAGATTGCCCGGGTGGGGAGGTGTAAGATGGGAACTTACGGTGGTTGCGGTCAAGGTTTCGGTAGTTGAGAAGCTGTAAGATGTTAGCGTTCAGTTGACGGAGATTAGCGGTCAGAATCGGATGTACCTTGCCGTTGTCGTAACATTGCCAGGGACGATAGTGGAGGTAGACGTCGTCTATGGGAGAAGTGAGCGACTGTCTGAGATGACAATGAAGGAGACTTGCCGTCGTTTGCACAGTCGTGCTGGATGGAACTGGAGTGACAATCGTAATGGTTGGACTGAGTGTTACGGTAACCATCTTGGTTGATTGAACCATTATCTCAGCGGAACCTGGAAAATTATCAGCACACAAGAACATCCCGGGGTCGCAATTCGTTCTGTGGGCACAGTTTTCCGAATAACATACATTCAACAGACTGGGGGTAATCCTTCTTCGGGACACCATGCTCGGTAGAATTCGCCCCGCGGGCCTCGAGTTGATTCCAGTTGTTCCTTTTTTGCGCAGTGCCCGGGTACCCATTGAGCGTATCAGAAACAAATTGGAAGCCACTTTCCGTTGGTACGACAGATGTGAAGGTGGATGTCGTTGTCACAGTGTCAGTCTCAGTAAACGTGGTCGTAGTACTATGAGGCATTAGTTGAGGTCTAGAAAAAAGGCTGGTAGACACTGGGCTTACCTGGTGGTTTCGGTGATGGTGTCATATTCACTCGAAGTCGTCGAGAAAGCTGTAAAAAATTAGCTTATCCGAGACGTATCGGCCCCAGGAAGCTCACATACTATCAGTAATAGTCGATGCCGTGACTGTAGCGGTTGCTTGTATGGTCTCGGTTGAGGTGATCGTAGAGGCATTTCCAGTATGTGTCAACGTCGTTTGCGTATATGAAGGAATGATGACCGGAGGCGCTTCGACAGTCCAGAGCTTCGTACAGGTGGGGACCGGGCAAGCGGAGTGTCTGCCCATTTTCGTGGTGCAATGGAGATTTGTGGTGGTGCTTGCCGGGTAAGTACCGTTCGTTGCGGCGGATGCAAGGGTTGAGAGAAGGAGAGGAACTCCGACAGCTGCGCGGAAAAACATGGCTAGAGATTATGCTGAAAACTTTTCTTCAAAGAATGTGGGTGCAGAGACTGCGATGTAAATTGAACAAAGACCAAACGAGTGTGAGAGCGAGAAAGAGCTGGAGAGGTGAAGAAGCGGACGGAGGTTATAATATAGATCCGACTCAAGTAGTGCTTTGTGGCTTAACCAAACGCAGCTGCGTTTCTGGGCTATCGCCGCAACTGTCATGGCTGAATGAGGTCTGGCTCGAGGGGGGGCTGCTTCAGAACGTGGGGTTGACTGGGGATCATCGTGGTTGGCAAGAAAAAGACCACTTGTGTACCTAACAACATGGCCAGAAGCTCTAGTGGGGTTTGCTTTCCCAAATGCGTTCGACGCTAGGCCATACCGACGCGTGGCGCTTCCAAGGGGGCATTATTAGGCTAGACAGACAAAAGAGTAATAATGTAAATGACAACGCGAAAGAATAGGGTCTAGGCCACGAGACATTCGGGCTGCACGCACTGTACGAGGACGTCTAATGCGCTGAATACCTCTGAGAAATCGAATGTGCTCGCTCGTGCAGTCCCGTTTGATGCTTCCGCATAAGCTTCCTATGGACTGTACAAATGGTGCCGATCCAGAGTGGGCTGTGTAGAGACGCATTCACGGTGTAGGGTGCCAGCGCGGAGTCGCCGGTAGGTCTAGACTATGGGTTTACTAGAATGTGCCGTCGATGTTGCGGAGATGAGGTTGAGGCGGAAAAAAAGGAGACTCGGTCCGACTCGTCCTCGCATAATCGCTAGCTCACTGCCACCTGATAGAAGAGAGGCACGAGGGGCATATTTCGAGTCATCATGGAAACCGACAGTTACAATAGCCACTATGAACTACTGTAGGCAGGTCTTCTTCTTGTTTGTATAAAGTTGTTAACGGTAGCTGCATTTCTGGTATTCACAGTCTTTTGGTCACGTGATAATATCACTGCGCTTTTGTCAACCATTATTCCTTGCCTAGCGGTCTCCGCACCGTAAATAAGCTGAGATGCGCTTTTACAACCATTTTTGCTTCCGTATGTCAATACCTCATGAACATTGTTCTACGGAAGTCACGTGGTGGAATCAGGGTGGGGAAGTATTCTATGGATAGGTGAGTTAATTGAGCTATTCCTGTAGTACATAAATTAGCTAGCCTAAGTAGTAAGGCACGGTTTCATATGTAGCTATCCTTGATTCTACTTAAAAAGTGTCTGTGAAACGCAAAATGCCCTAAGGCTTTCAATGGGCTAAGATCGAAAAGAGACGGAAGTGACTGATGTGGTTACTTTGAATCGACCGAAGGACTTAGAAGCTACGTGGCAAAATGCACAGCGGACTGGTTAGAGAGACCGTTTCTTTGAATTGGTCGAATTTAAGAACAGAGATTATAAATGCAATAAGAGCGACAATAAGAGCGACTTCCTGGGTTGGTTTACGTTTACGCAGCACACTTACTCATCAGACAACCTGTCAGTCTTCCGAACTTGCCGGCGGCGCTCTAGTGTAAGCTGTCGCCGGCATAAAGGGCAGAGATTAAAGTTAGGACCGGCTTGATTGATCAAACTCTCAAGACAGTTCCACCCAAAGATGGCCCCACAGACACGCGCACGTACTGCTATATGCTTTTCGTGATCATACTCATCATTCTGGCAGATAGCGCAAACAGTCCCATTGACATCCTCCGTGACGCGATCGGAGATTTCAGCAGCGCTCACACGTGGGCCAGCGAGCTCCAGAGGTACGTCTTGCATGTCTAATAAGTTGAACTCTTCAAACTCATCGCCTGCGAGGCTTTCGGAGCCTCCAGAGTCGTTCTGATCGAGGTTTGGATGTTGGTTCTCCGGATGAAATGGGTCTTCATGATGGCGTTCTCCGTGCCGGGCTTCGTACCGCCAGAACCAAAGCGTCAGATCGTTTTGAACGTTGAGATCTTCTTCTGTGTTTCTGCCGTCGATGTTAGCGTCGGTCAATTGATCTTGGACCGACCTTGTTGATTGCCGGATGAGTTGCAATGCGTCGTCCTCCTCATCCTGAGTTGCAAAGTTGAATATCTGATAGTGATTCTGTACCCTTCTTGAACAATCCCGCGCATGTCGAAAACCATGGCGCTCTTCAAACTCCCAATACCAACGATCAAGACTGTTGCGGAGATTCTCAAGTTCGCGGTCGAGGTCTACTCGTTCAGCGGGGTATGCCGGAATCGAGCTCCGAACTGGTCAATGAACTCGATGCCATCCGCAAGTTCCAGTCGCTCATATTCCTCGAGTAACATTCGGACCTGCCTATTAGCCTATAACTGATGCGTGACGGCTTTGCTTAACTCACCAAGCTCCTCGTCTTCATAGTGAAGCTGGACGAAATGCCCGTTTTCATCGGTTTTGTTGGCCTCCCGTATGGTCGGCGCTCGTCGCGTCAGACAGTCCACGGCCCAGAAACACTCAAATTGCCGAGTAGGACGAATGAGCCTTGCAGCTGGGGAGTTATCCGTGGAGTAAAGGTCGAGTGCCAGCTCGTCAGCGTATGGTCCAGCGATTAGAGGATTGGTGTCAACAAGTGGATCCTCTTCTGCTGGTCGATGGTGGTCCGGATAGTCCTCATTAGCACAACGTTGACGCTGCGCGCCCAGAAAGCCTAGCCTATTTATTTCTTGACGAAGACGGGCGATTAAAACTTCTGTCCGTTGCAGATCTTCCTCGGTAAGAGGTGGATAATCAGGGTGTGTTCGACTCATGTTTGAGATGGTTTTGTAGGATTAAAATGTTGAGAAAAGGAATGGATTTCTGGAAGCAATAGGTATATAGATTGAGCTGTGGGTTGTTCAACTCTAGACAAAGGGGTTTGTTCGACCTCGGACAACGACATTGTTCAAAGTTCAGCTTCGCTATGAATCTCATTATGGAGAAACGGGTTCCTAGTTCCTGGGTAAATGAGCATTGCTATTCCTTATTAGTATTGACATGATGCGGGCATATGTAGGTTCACACTGTAGAGACTCGCAGCTAGACTTGAGTGACCAAAATGCAGTCCATAATTTTGTGGAGTAAATGTACCGAAGGGGGTGAATGAATGCGGTTTGTTTCAAAATTCAGAGTAAGACGTGACGGAGTACGTATTCTTAGCCAGCTAGCCTACGGAGTATGGTACGGTTAGCTCGGCTACCTTGATATAGAACACGGTTCCTATACTTAGCCCTCACAGTTCTACGGTACGGTTTCGTAAGCCTTCACACACACAGAGTATATATACGGCGTACGTAGCCTACATAGATGCTCATCCAATACATCACTTACCTCGTTCAATGCATTGTTTCACCTCCATCCTCAAGACGCATAGACTTAAATATGTTATTATAGAAAGAGCTTATGTGGTAGAGCTTAGGAAACAAGGGGAGTCGGTCAGGGAGTAAGAAATGCTGTCTGGTAGTAACAAATTGAACAACCACTCTAGTAACAAACACCTTTTCATTTCGCTCTCACCGAGAGTCAAGCAGGTGATGCAGCTTCACCTGGTCCAAGGGTGGGGCGGAGGGATGGTAATCCACAAGCTACGAGAGGTTGAAAAGTACAGGTTGCAATCCCGGGAATAAGAGACGATGGTGTTGGTGAACGTCCAAGTGTCGTCAACGCCGATGACGGACGCCTTGCCGACTACCCGATTGCGCTATCCCACTCTTGGAGAGTTTCCGCCGTGGAACTTGCCCACATAAAGCTTAGACATTCCCGACGATAGCCCCTCTAAATTGAACCATACAAGTATCGGATGATAGTCCTTACTCCCGACTCTCAACGACTTCAATCTCAACCTTCCAAAATGGCTGAAAACGAGATAAAACTCGAATCCCAGCTCGAACCACTCCCGGCTCCCCAAGTCCCGTACTCAATATTTACGAAAGGCCAAAAGGCGGTCATTACGATCATTGTATCAGTAGCAGCGTCATTTTCTGGATTCGCGTCCAACATCTACAATCCATCGATTCCTACGATTGCTGCGGACTTCGGTGTAGCGCCAGAGCTTATCAATTTGACGGTGACGTCGTACATGATATTTCAGGGTCTGTCGCCGACCCTTTGGGGAGCCATTGCCGATGTCCAAGGTCGCCGGGTGACCTATATTTGCACGTTCTTAGTATTCTTCTCGGCGTGCATTGGTCTCGCAGAAACAACACATTACTACCAACTCGTCATTTTGCGCTGCCTGCAGAGTACTGGAAGTGCGAGTACGATTGCCATTGGAGCAGGCGTGATTGGCGACATTACGACGCGAGAGGAAAGAGGCGGGTATATGGGCTTCTTTCAGGCCGGATTGCTGTTTCCTACTGCAGGAGGTCCTATCTTGGGCGGAGTCTTTGCGGGAACGCTCGGGTGGAGGGCCATATTCTGGTTCTTGACCATCTTCAGTGGGACCTTCTTGATATGTTTGGTGATATTCCTCCCAGAGACCCTGCGATCGCTCGTCGGCAATGGATCCATACCGGCGAAAGGCCTCGGAAAGTCTTTGATAGCGTACCTGCAATTGCGTCGACATGATGAGAACGAATTAGAGCTTTCCCGGACGATGAGCGGTGCTCCATCCAGGAAGAAACTGCGGCTAGATTTTACTGGACCATTGCGAATTGTATTCGGTGGCGAGGTGACTTGGATTATCATCTTTCTCTCGATTTACTACACGGTATGGCAGATGACTATAACGGCACTGTCGACTTTCTTTCATGAGACCTATGGCCTGTCCCAAATTGAGATTGGCTTGACGTACATTGCGAATGGAGTTGGATGTATCGTGGGCACAATGACTACCGGAAGATACCTGGATTTCGATTATCGACGCATCAAAAACAGCTTCACCGGAAACCCGGAAGACTTTCCGCTAGAACATGCTCGATTGCGGACGATCTGGCTCTGGGCCGCTATGCAGATCGCTGCAACGGTGGTGTTTGGGTGGACTTTGGACAAGAAGGTTCACATTTCTGTGCCAATAATATGTACTTTGGTGATGGGCTGGGCAACATGCGCCACGCAATCTGTCATAACGACGTTATTGGTGGATATATACTCGGCACGGAGCGCTTCCGCAACGGCTGCGTTAAACCTAGCGAGATGTTTAATGGGAGCTGGTGGTACTGCGGCGGTAGTCCCGATAGCAAACGGAATGGGCGTTGGCTGGGAATTTACAATGCTATCTGGGATACTCATTTTGTCTTTAGTTTTGGTTGTCGTCCAATCAAAATATGGGGCTAGGAAGAGAGTGGAAAGAGCAAAACTGGAGAGATCATAGATTTTTTTAGGCTTTTATTGGATCATAAAAGACTTACTATCCTTCATTAGCAGCCGTGAATATGACAACAAACCGCGAATATAGTCATCCCAAATTCGTCCGCAGCTTGAACCCATCTTTCAACTCGCTCTCTCCGCTCTGGGGAGCCTGTTGCTTCAGACCGCCAGAGCTCGGCAATTTGAATCTCTCCCTCTTTCCAAGATTCTAGGTAAGTGTCGTACTCACGTTCCCAGTGGACTCTTTCTTGGCAATCCCAGAGCGCTTTAGTGGCTGGTAAAGGCAGCCCGGTTAATTCCTCCGCTAGGTAGGTTTTGACTCCATTAATTACGTTGAAAAGGTTGTTGAACAGATACGACGCATACATCGTACGCCTCTTGGCAGATGCCACTATCCACGTCTCCCATGTCGGGCGAGTCTGCGATAGCTCTGCGGTGCAGGCGAGTCCGGTGGCGGACGCGTGACTGGCCATCTCTTGTAAAGAGACCAAACTGGAGTGACCCACAATTTGGATATTAGAAAGTGGCGACAGGAAGGCCATCATCAAGTATATGAGGTAGGCTTGGAACGCCGCGAGAAAGTCAATCTGACTGTAGCTTTGATACTGCTTCGGTCTCAATTATAAACTCTGGATTGGACAGCCAAAATTTCACGTACTTCGCTTAACAGCCGCTGCGTCTCTCGTTGTACGTCTTCGGTTACTTTCGCTACGTTCCTAGGATCTGATCTGCACTCGTACCATTGACGGACTAGCTGATAGCAGGTTGCCAAAGTCAACGAGAGCTGTTCTGTCTCAACTTGAAGACGATGGATGATGGGAGGATATTTCTTCGGACAGGTCATGGATTTAGGATATGTCGCTAGGACACAAGAGAGATACTGCACGGTAAATGGCTGGAGGCCCTTGGGTGTCTGATTCGAAGAGGGGACAAACGTCTCCATCCACCGGCTTCCGATTTGGATGCTATCAAGCGTGGATAATAGACTGATCTGCGTGAAGTCGAGTGTGGCAAAGTGTGCTCTCTGAGTATCGGGAGGTTTAGAACTCGCATTACCGGTGATGTCAGCTGTTCCAAGACCGAGGGTATCTGGAGTTATGGTTGAAGAAATTGGCCGAGATGAGTTCGACCTGCGCGACACGTTCTCTGTGTGAATACTGTGGCCAATACTTGACCTTGAGTGGACGCTGTAGCAGCAATGCAGAGACTTCGACACGCATCGCGAGCACGCAGGCCTTTCGAGAGTACATCGCCGTTTTGCCACTTGACATTGCTCACATGCTTTTCTCGGAGTATTTGTTGCCCATCTGAGCTGGGAGTCTCTTTCCGTTTCAATTCGAGTGGACATGGATAATATTAGGGAAGATTGTTGATGAGAGATGACGTTGAAAGAGGAGAAGACGTAGTCGAATTTAGTCTAGTCTTTCCTGAGCCTAGCATCGCACGTGACTGGCTCACTCAGTCTCCGAATTTTCCTCCTTCGCCAGTACCATCTCCATCATTCTCAACAAAATACTTACCAACTTCACCGGCTTCCTCTTCCCTGTGTGAGTACTATTGTCTCTTTGGAACGCGGCTGGCTGAACCTTCAAGACAAAGCAGACGGCTTCGCAATCCTCGTCTGGCTGTTCTCCTCCTCTGCGCTTACTCAGATCGTTACATTGGCCTTTTTCGGGATACAAGATCACTAAATCCAGCTATGACACGCATTGACATTGCTCTGGGTTGACTTGGCTTTTTGGATCGAAACCAGCGGCACTGATCACAGAATTTTGCCTGGTCGCCTTAGAGCGTCTCTTGCGTCACCTTCCACACTCCAAAAATGATTAGATCTTTCCGTCAGTCAGTAAAGATTAAGCCTAGAAAGTATGCCGCTAGTAGTGACTTCTTGTGCTCACAAGTCTAGCCTCTATCGTTTTCCACTGAACAGCTCGATGGCATATCTCAGCTTGGTTCGATGCTTAGGCTGATGTTGAGCAACGCTACTAGTGGACGTGCTAGTCGTTACGGCTGGCCGGCGAACCCGAAACCAATCATGACATGACTGCATCACCCTTTAATTGGTTTCATTCTTTACAAGGGGCCACTAAGGGGCATACTTTCTCGTTGAACGTTGCTATCATGCGGCTGGAACACATCTGGCCACAACCTTGGCAGTTGCCTGCACGAAAATCCATTTGGAAACGCTACGTGCCTCCGTACCTCCTTGTAATCGTCAATCTTTCATTTGAACTTCTATGACCTGTTCATTCTCTGCTCCTCTAGCAGTCATCTCACCACCACGCAGGATGCGCCTTTCTATCAATATTTGCTCAAACACTCTGTAACAAAAGATCATACGATCACTAAACCTCTCATTTCTCCTCATTACCTTCGTTCTCGTGATTTTTCTCAATTTTTATCGTCTACGACTGCCACCGCCATCTCAACCTTCTCGGATGATAGCTGTAAGAAATCTTATAAGAATCTGGACGGCCCTAATGGTTATCCGGACGGGCTATGTACAGAACTGTCAAGCCAAGGAAACTTCCAAAGCTTCATGGTAGTGGGAGAAAATCCAGGATGCTCAGGTATGAAATTTTAACCAACAGTTTAATGTCGATATCTGAATTTATTCAAGTCACCATTTACGGCAAAGATGCCGATGGGAATCTCCTTGTTCGGCAACCGTATTAGAGATTGGGACTCTAGCAACATGCTATAACGCTTCATGGGTGCATTAAAGCATCGACGGCTGCTTGCCCCCTAGCAGCTTCTCTTCCTCCACCACGATGTCAATTCCCACACGCAGTGTCACTAACCCTTCAACAACATCCGCAACATCTTATATATTACCCCTCCCGTCATCATCGTCACCACCAAAGAAGACAGTTTCAACTGGAGTGATAGTCGGAGCTATCGTCGGCGGAGTCGCGTTACTAGTCACCATACTTGGAGTCACGACCTTTCGTCTCTTCCGTCATCGTAAACCACGTCAACGAGAGAACTCACACGAGTTATCAGACTCTGGTGTTCCCAAAATGCCGTCAAAAGACCAGAAGCTCGAGATGTATGCCTCACATGGAGCCGTTGAGATGGGTCGGAATAGCATGTATATGAGCTGATGAAGGAAGGATCATTACAGGGTGCCGGCGGAAAGAGCGATCAAATGTACAGCTGAGTCTCGGACATGCTTACTGCCAGGTTTACTACCCTAATGGTCGGCTCGCCTATGCATCAGCTTGTCTCTATTTCTGCAAACGAATTCCGTGAAACATTGAGCCCTGTCGCACTCGTAGAAAAGAGCGGAAATTAGTAGTTTCTTGTGAACATTTCACTCCTGCATGCTGCGTCTCATGCCCATTCACCACTTTGAGCTCCTGCTAACGAGCCTGAGGTGGGCCATTCAAATTCTCTCCTCAAGACTCCGCAAGATGGTAATACACAGCCGCCAATGCGGCCGATAGCGTGGCAACCATCCACTGCCCGATGCCAAATCCAGACTCTTGTGTCTTCATCGCCAACGCCACGACGACCGATACAACGAAACTAAGGACCAGGATGACGCAGAGACATAGACTTAGTAGCGGCTTGTTCGGTCCTTCGATGATATGAACGCCCCAGCCTAGTGTCAGCTCGTTCGGTACGCTCTGTTTCAGAATGCTCGAATGCAACTTCTTCGGCATGCGGTCGAAGAACAACCGACTCTGGCTTCCAGCGTGCTGCTCGTGGTTCCAGAAATAGTGGAAGAATGTTCTATAGTCAATCGGTGGTAGCGGGTCTAGCGGGCATTCACGGTAGTGGTAATGTTGCTCCTTAACCTTTTGGTGAGGCGGGATAGCCATCGGCTTATCATACACACCTACGCGGTGGCTGTCAACGACGCCGAAGCGCACGAATTGGATGTCAACTGGTTTGAAGAGGAAGCCAAATCGGCGGCTGCGGCGGAGGGAGTGGTAGCGAGCGTGGACTAAGGCGAAGAAGGCACTGTCAGTCTGGACTTCGGTGATGCCGTTGGTTGTTCTGGAGGTTAAGGGGATCTCGCCAAGGGTGATGCGGAGGGTGCCGGTGTTGACGCATAATTCAAAAAAGCGGTATGTGGTTTGGGTGTTGCCGGGGTCGTTGAAGTTGATGTCTTGGGGTAGTGGATAGACGTTCTGGGTGCTCGAATTGGAATATCCAGGGCCCCCTAACGTCTGGCCGGGGTTTTGCTGTTGGGAACTAACGCCCGTGGATCCGGAACTCGCAGGCAATGATACGGTATTGTTGATTGCACTGGGCCCATCTTGAAGCGTTACGCCCACCAGGGACGGCATAGTCCGGTCGTGATCTCTTTCCTTTCTCTCCCTATCTAGCTCAGATCCATCCGGCTTGTGTTTTTCCAGTGCTTTGAACCAATGGTGTAATGTCTCGTTAATCCATCCAACATCTAGCTTCTGTCCTGCGTCTAAATCAGGCGGCGCATAACTGCCGCGCGTAGCCGTGCTTTCTTCGAGACGCGGCCAAGTATTTTCCGTTAGTTCCTCGTACGCGGATGTTTTGGCTTTCTCAAGCTTCGTCGCGGGAACTGTTGCCACCACGGTACCTGTTTCTAGACTCCCGGTATATTGCCAAAGGCCCCTTTTTACCGTCTGCAAACTCATGTGGTATTCTTTTACCGAGACCTGGCTCAAGTGCTCTATGCGGAGCTGCCGTCTGAAGAACTCTAGCGCATGGATATCATCACACTTGTAGTCGCCGTACATTGCCTCGCCACAGCTCTGAGAAAAGCAGAAGATTATTAGCAGGTATACTCAGAATCAAGGACCTAAAGTAAATCCCCGTCGCTAATGCAGTAACTAAGGTTGCTGAGTTCAAGAATGGCTCTAGTATGTACATAGAGGTCTCGTTGGCTTCCGGAATTTACGTAGAAATTGGGACTTCATAAAAGTGTCACGACTTACACATGTCCACTCAAGCCGCTCATAACCCAACTTTACCCGCGGACGTAAAATTACTTTGAGTCCAGCAATAAGGCGAGCGAAAAGCCTCAGAGGCAGAGGTAGTCTGGATAACCCAGCATTGGCGGACCTTGGCGGGGGCGGAGTACAAGACGGCGAGACAATTTTGTCTTTTTCATTGACGTCTGACGTCTCTCTAGATTCCTCTTTGTGAGGGACCTCTATTATTTTTTCTGGCTCGCCATCGTACAGCACCTCTATCGTTTCTTCCAGTTCCTCTCCGCATGGTGCTTCTCTAACTTCCGCAGGTGGAGCCCTATATGGGGTCAAGGGCACCCAAGGGTCGTTTCTTTTGTCCGACATGTCCTCGATTTCCTGGAAGCTGTCTCCGATGGCATTGCTATCGCGAACTTCCTCGTTACCAGAATGGAAACGGTTAGGCGGTGTTGGAGGTGGCTCCCTTGAAGGGCTCTCCAGTTCATTTTCGTCAAAAATGGATCCCGCTGGAGATATTTCATGGTCCTCGAATACTGAAGACGCTTCGTCGTTCTCAAACACTGGGTGCGAGTGGTCTTGCACTTGCTGCATTCTAAGCTCATTGGCTTTGAGCCTTTTACCAATCTCCTCAGCCTCCCGGGAGAAATCACCTGAAGTATCCCAAATCAGTCGGAAAGATCTGTCCTTACTTTGAACCTTGCACTTTTTATAGAAGACTTGAAGCTCATCTAGAATCCTTTCATGTTCGAAGTATATTTCAATATGAAGATCTCGCTCCCTTTCAGAGAAGCTGCCATCGTGTCTGAAAAGTTTTTTTCTTGGTAGTTAAGAAAAGACTCGCTAAACTAAAGTAGCCTTTTAACGCTTTCCAGTTCTTTGGGAGAGTCCTTTAGCTTTTCGCTCATAATATAGGTGTTTTCATATGCTGTCCTGACCTTGAAAACGGAGAGGTTGAGGCCAAGAGATGCGTGCTTCAATATATTAAAAGCGGGAGAGCGGGGCTGGCTAAACATAATTTTTCGAAACGTGTTTGTTGCATCCTTCGTTTGCAAGAGGCCATGGGAGCGAGGAGGCTCATTCGGCGCCTCTTCATCTTGCAGCCCCACGCTCTTCATTGGTGATATCGCAGGAGGTGATCTTTCATAGCTGAAGGCTTGGTCTCTCGGCGTTGGCTCGGCGCTCGTGATGTCCCCGCTTCCAATCGATGCGATGGATTCACCCTCACCCTGTGTGTCTAATTTGGGTTGGCTCGCGTCTTCATCATCCTCTTGAGTGATACGTTTGCCCCTGGATCTACCTCTAGAGAAATTCAAGAACTGTTTTGGAGCAAACGGGCCTTCAGAGAGCTCGCTGACCTGGGAAGGCTTCGGTGTCTGAGATATCTCGACGTCATCTTCTCCCGCCATTGTCCCCACGAAGCATTTGCCTAGCATTTTTTCGAGGTTGACCCAAGGATGCATTCCCATGAATAATTTCTCGCAATCTTTGCCAGCTGCCCTCCCTAGCTCTAATTCACCACCAGGATGGAAGGGAAAATACGGCGTGATGTTGTAAACTTTCCCTTGAAAAGAAGACCATGCCGGTCTTCCTTCAGTGCCGTTGTTATGTTTCAGCTGCTTAGGAGTAACTCGAAGGACGGAAGGAACACCCGATAAGTTTTCGCCAGAGTTCGTCACATTTACCCAGTCCAGTGGCCCTTTTTGCTCTTTAAGTTGGACCTTGGCTTCCCGTAGGCCGTGTTTCTTTGCAGGATTCGATGAGAGTGCGTTTCGATTTTTCCAGACGTCTGATTTCCGGGTCTGCGCGTCTTCCTTTACGTCGAAATGAGCACTGGGGAAAGTAGCCGTGTTATTTGCAGTAGATACAGGAACTGGATCGGGAGGGGCAACAGAAGACTTATTTGGCGCCGGCACATGTTTATACACACAGTCGTAAGAACTGTCCTTGCAAAATGCACACGGCCTCTGCTCGTCACATGGCTGTTTCCGTGCGCGACAGTTGTTACACGCCTATGACTCAGTTAGAAAGAGAAGACAGAGCAGTACCGTCTAGAGCGCGTACCTGAGTTGCTCGCACTTGCTTTCGTTTCATGGCACCATACTGGGACCCAACCGGCCCATATGAGGCGGACTGGTTGTACTGGCTGCTACTGCTGGGCGGATACATATGGTCAGAAGACATGGGCTGCGGGGCGTACTGTTCCTGCGGGCTGGCAATGGTGTCGCCATTTGGCAAGCCAGCAGACATCCCGTTGAGAGACATGCCGTGCAGAGGCATTCCGTCGGAAGGGAGGAGGTTGGGTTGCTGGCGGGAATCCTGTCTTTCGGGAAGCTGAGAGATAGTTTCAACACTGTCATCCAAGAATCCGCCCTGAGGTGGCGCTTGAGAGTTGTGGACCTCTGATTCTTGATTGTCTTTGATTCTTCGCTGGACTGGGCGTGTTTCTGCCTCGCGCCGCTTTGCGTCGTCTTCCCAAAGGAAGAACCTGCACTCGTGCATAAAACAGGTGTAATACCCGCGCCCTCTTTGCGTCGATTGCAATGAAGCAACTAAGTGGCGGGCGGGCTTACGGGGACTACAGTTACCTTAGGCAATATTAGCTACAAGCATAAGGGGGTAGATGCAGTACTTACATTTCCACACTCCATATTCGAATAGTCCTTCCTGGTTAAGACTTGAAGCCGATGTCAGCTCCTGATAACGCTTGTCATGCGCACCAAGACTCACTCAGTTTCATTGATGATGAGAATACCAGCAGCTGGTCCTGGTGGGTGTTGAGCCACCTGAAGTGGGTCCGTGGTGGCTGTGATGTGCCAACCAGGTTGATATTCAGCTTTGTTGCGCAATGATTCAGAGCTAGATCCAGCGCGGCGCTCGATATCTTCGAGCCTTTTCTTTAAAGTCTTGCCTGCGGACTGTGAGCTGCTGAATCCCGGTATTTACGACGGGCAATTACCTACGGTAGTTGCGTTGAGCAATGCGGTGCTGAATTCGTCTCCGTTCAGCCAGATCCGAGATCTTGGTGAATGATATTGTTGATGTATACTCCGCACTGTAAGAGGGCAAGGAAGCTTGCTCATGGTGGGTACTTTTGGATGATGTATCAGCCCCCAATTTTGTTCATGATCTCGGCGCCTTGGACTTCCTCAGCAGAACTCACTCGCTGTCCTCAATTACCGGGATATCCTCAGCAAATGTTGGTGAGTGCTGAGCCGCCCAGATGGGTTCCATGACGGTTATGATAACTAGGGTCGATCTTCAGCCTTGTGGCGAAATTGCTTCGGTGATGAGATAATAATATCGACGAGACTATCCGAGTGTGAAGAGAGTATGCAAGAGCTGATGAACTGCTAAATTACAGCACACTCTTAGCCGCTTTCTCCAGAATTGCAGGTGTCAGAGTATGTAGCCTGTGTCCAAGGCTGAAACGATGAGGCTCATAAATCCTAATCAGACGATCAACAGGAATGATACGGTGGTTTAGGTCCTGTAATCACGAAGAGGAAAGTTGATTGTATAGACTACAGCACTCTGAGCCCGAAGAATGTTCATTCTATCAGAAAGCAGGCGGGTCGTGTTCAGGCTCGTTCGCCCCCGAGGCTGAGATGAAGGTTATTCTCACGTGTGTGAAGCGCTTACCCTGGTACGTCCTTGGCGCTACATCGGGAGTGATGATTGGTTAGATTTCCTAGGCTGTATGGAACACAGGAAGTAGTTGAGCGATTAGTCTGCTTGTAGTTCTTAGATTCAAGTCTTAGAAGCCCGAGTTTTATAGATCGAAAAGTCCCTGGAAAAGTTTTGCTGAACGAACTTGGCCTGTTTTGCCAAAGTGACCACTGCAAACCCCAAGTACGTGGGGCTTCCTGAAACCATTTCTCATACATATACAAGGGGGCACTATGTCTCTAGTATCAATTCTGTATCGTTTGGGACCTAAACGCCACCTCCAGGAACCGAAGCATCCCAACCATAAGCCCGTATCCAGAACCCAATATCAACCACATTCTTAATCATCCTTGCGCCTTCCCATCACTATTGGCTCCGCCGCCAGTCACACTAGCCACAAACTCATTGTATCGGAATACCTCCCCTCGCCCTCCTTGCCCGCCAAGTCCCATTCCCTTCCCTCCTTTGCTGAACGCCTTCCGACCACTGAACCCCTCCACCACCTTATCAATCTCTCTCTCGCTCAGCTTGCTCTCGCCGGGCTCAGGCGCCGTATGTAACAGAGCATCCTTCAACTCCGCCAGGTCGATCTGACCCGAGTCGTCGTCATCGAATGCGGAGAATGCCGCATTAAGCTCGGACGGATGCGACAATGGTGCGAGTAATCCAGCCAGTGTGTTCAAGTATGTTGCCAGGTTCATCGTTTGGAATCCGGCGGGAAAGTATGCAGATAATGAGGCAGGCGAGCTGTCCAGTCCCAGCTGGTTCAGCATCTCGGCGACGTCGGCTGCGGCGATGGTGCCAGTGTTGGAGCGATCGAGCACGCTGAAGGATTCGCGCATGCTATGGAGGAGAGGGGGTGGTATTTTGGTCATTGCGTCGCCGGAGCTGGCGGTACGCGTGAGGGGTACGGGGCGTGAAGACGATGCTCTTGGTGAGTCCGTGTCGTCGTATGAGGGGAGAGGGTCAGTTGGCCGGAGCGTGGCAGCTGTGGCGCTGGAACGCGTTGGCGATGTCGGTGGTTCTGGTGTAGCGGTCGTCCCGCGGGTTGTGAGCCATGTTGGCGGGGCGTTGCTGGTTGCGGTTGGGCGAAGGGACGCTTGTGAGATTTTCTCCGGCGATAGATTGGAAGGAGTGGAGGGTTTGAGGGGAGAGCTGGTAGGCGTTGTGGCTCTGACGGTTGCTGGAGAGGTGAGAGGGGAGTTTGGCCGTCTGAAGGGTGATGTGCGCGGGCTATTGAAGGAGAGTGGAGAGGGCTTGTATGGGTTTGGAGTGGCAGACTGGAATTGTGAGCGCACGGAAGCAAATCCTGGCAATTTTCATACATACCATGACTATTTATCGTGTAGTAGAAGTGCTGTGAAGTGTGACGAATGATCCTAATCGCGTAGAGCCTGTGGTGTTGATGTTTGGCCTACTTGGAATTGGCGCGGCAACCGCCGAGGGCACGTGACCTGGGCGTCGAAATAAAGTTGTTAGCGTGCTGGCTTCTACGCAAGGCCATGCGCAACGCAGTGCTCGGGGGTCTCTCCGCAGTGCAGCAATCCGATGCACGAGAGGGGACGCTACCAGGCTACTCGGCTCCTGAAATCACCCAATTCGATTCCTCCACCCTCGTCAATTATGCCTTGACTCCCTCCTTTCGCTCTACAGCAACCCTATACCTATTTGCGCCATCCCTATCCGGCAGGACACCCAGGGCGCATTCCTCCATCCCTCAAGATCCTGGTGATCGTCTTCCAGGGACGGACTTGACCCTGATATTGGATAGACCCGAATGGCTTCAGCGATGGCCCAACGCCCGTCTGTCAATGGCGTTCCCTCTGCCCAACACGTCCTCCAGCGCCAATCGTCCCTTTCCTCCTTCCCTCAGCCTCAATCCCGCTCGCCGTCGTCCCAATCTACGCGAAATACCCGCCCTGGGCGCTCTCCGCAGCCGCCGACTGTCAGAGAGTCAGGAGGCTCCTCTGAATCCTCAGCAAGCCTCTCCCACGAATCCTCCATGTCCGTCCTACCAAGTGCCCCGAAACGCAGATTGCGCTCGCAATACCCCGCCGAGTCATCCGAGAATCATGTCGAGTACATTCTGGTCGCATCGTTTGACATTGACCATGGATCCGTCATGGAGCACCAATACCCAGCTCCCATCAGTGGAGACGAGCACATGTTAGCTGAATTGATGTTGCCAGATCAAACCCACATGCGCAGTCAGGATTGGACAATCTTCTTCCTGCATAAGGACACGAGCGCAGAGGAAGAGGCCAGGGAAGAGCGGAGAGAGCGGAGAAGACAGAGGCGGAGACGGAAGGAGGGTCTGGATGGTGACGATCCAGCGACGAATGGAGGCGAGGCCAACGAGGATATGGAGGGTCTAGATGATGATGATTTCGACACCGAAGACGAAGAGGACGAAGAGGATGACGGCATTGAGGGGCCTCCCCTCGTATATGTGTTGAATCTTGTTAATACCAAGCAAGATATCACGGTTAAAAGGTAAGCTTACAGCCCTTCACTTAGAGACAATAGCCGGCTGATCCCTATCAAAGAGGCGCAATTGTCAAGGCTATGGCCATATGTACGCGGCATTCCTTTTTACATATTTACAAGGTATGGACCATAGGCCAATGTATTGTCGTTGCCATATTGATCATGTTTAGCCTCTTCTCCTCTTGGCGCTCGAGGAGTACTTCCGTGTTCCTGTTCCTGAGACGCTCGCTTCTCTATATAACGCCGTGAATTCGATGGACCTCTCCCTGATGCCAAAGCTATCGCCCTTAGAGGGTTTCATTCTTCAAGCTAGCGACGCCAAAGACATGTTCGTAGAGAAGTTTGACCAGATGATCAAACAGCGTATGATTGAGGATGCTGAACGAAATTCAGTACCTTCCTCATCAGGGTCGAACATGTCTCCAGCACGGCACAACGCTACCAAATACGTTCTTCCACGAGATACTCACGAGTTCGACTCGCGTGTGCATTATAACGGTATTCCCGTACCGATCAAAGTGCCAACAGCCATCAGCCCCGAGACCGTTGGCGACTTCTCTCTGATTAAGCTGATTCAGACTTTCTCGACACCACATGCCACTTCTCCGCAGCCATTCGCCCTTCATCCCCATCTCACTACGAGCGGTGCCTACACTCACCCCATAATTGTTCTCGTCAATGCGCTACTTACTCAAAAACGTATCGTCTTTCTCGGTCACAACAGGCCATCTGGAGAGGTAGCCGAGGCTGTACTGGCTGCATGTGCACTCGCTTCTGGTGGCCAGCTCCGAGGCTTCACTCGGCACGCGTTTCCATACACTGACCTTACCAAGATCGACGATCTACTGAAAGTTCCTGGCTTTATCGCTGGTGTAACAAATCAAATCTTCACGCATAAAGTAGAATGGTGGGACTTGCTTTGTGACCTTCCCACAGGTCGTATGAAGATCAGTAGCCGCATTGAAGCCGCTCCTGTCTCCGAAGGGGTACAATTCTTCCAACAACAGCAAGCTGGGCTTGGAGGCAACCCAAGCATTGGCGCACAGATCGCCAGTGCAGTGACAGCAGGCGAAGGTAAGGGCGCTGTCGACTTGACTGGCGATAATGCCTTCATGGATGGCTTGTTGCAAGCAATTGCCAACCGTCACGGCGAGGCTGCCATCCGAAGTAAATGGCGTTTCTGGGTCCTCAAGTTTACGCGCTTAGCTGCTGCATTCGAGGAACTCGTATACGGCGCGTCCGCATTGTACATCGGACCGCACGAGACCGAGGACGGAGCAGGCGCATATGGCGTATCCGGACACGGCTACGTCTGGAACGACGACATATCCCGCATGAAAGAGCTAGCTGCGAACACCCATCGTATCGAAGGATGGCGGGTTACTCGGAGCTATTTCACATTCATCCAAGATCTAGCAAGGCGGTGGGAGAAGCGACCTGTGCGCGGGATCGACCTACAACATCAGCACGATCGACTTCGTTGCGCAAGGCTTAGTCACGACCAAAGTGCCGCCATCTACCTCGCTTTCGCTCAGGCTGTGGAAGAGGCCGGTCCTAGCTACTCGCCGTCTGACTCGATGGCGGATCTTTCATCCGGCGTCAACAGTATCAGTATGGATGCGAGTGGTGAGTTGTCGCCGCGGAGACCACCGAGCGAGCAGCTGCAGTACGACACCATTCTGCAACTGCTGACAGTCGTCCCGGAGACGAACAGCGGCCTGTTCTACATTTCCTTAGGACTATTCCACCCACGGCCAGACGTACGCATCGCAGTTGTCAAGCTGCTGGAGCGTATCGTGGAGCATCCTGCAGGCCGACATTTCTGGGCTAGCCTAGGTCGATTCGCAAAGCTAGCGTTTTTCAGAGTAAAGAGAGAGGAGGAGACTGGAGCGGGGAGGTGATACGAGTGACTGATGAGATCGCCTCATTCGGCCGTCAGTGGTTCATCACAGCATGATTTACGAGACGATGAAGTGGTACGGGTGTGCCAATTGGAAGATTTACAAGCATTTTCGTGGATTTAAACTACCTATTGCGGAAGACGAGCTCTCAGCATAAGATTTTCCATATACCATTGCGTTATACAGTGTAAGCATCGTCTGAGTCATTTAAAGAGCCCCAAGAGGGCAAATTATCAAAGACTTCTTTCACTTTACCATGCTCTATTAGCAGTCACCCACATCACATGCTTCACGCCGCAAGACTAGGTGTTGAGGTAAGGTTTGCTTGAGTGCTGATGTGGAGTATCTAAGCCTTTGCAGTTGTTGGTGTGAAGTCGCTGTTGAAGCCCTTCTCTCCATCCACATGTGGAAGGTTTCTTTTAGTAGGTCTCTCGACATTGGTGTGAACTGTATCGGGTCTGTCTCCATCCTCGTCATACATCGTCAAGCACTGGGGAACCAGGTCTCACGGTGACTCTGCAACATCGCAATCTCCTTCACCAAGCGTCCCATACGGACACCAGTCTCGTCGCGCACGTTGAAGGGGAAGCTGGAGATATAGTGCACTTCGATTTTCGTGCACGGCGGACTGGCCACCTGCATATCCTGCCACGTCGCCCGGTGATCGGTGTCGGCGCCAGGTGTAGCGAGGCCGATCATCGGCATGGTGAACTCGAACGGTCGGATCGCTCTCAATTCGATAGTGGAGGTATCTTGAGCACGAGGATTGCGAATTTGGTTTCTCCTGAAACCCGGCGGGTCTTCGACTTCGCTACTACGCGGCTTCAGGAAGGGATTGAGATGCTTGGCCGTGATGACCTTGACGACTTGAGGCGGATCATACACCCGACCATTCCAGCCGGCGTAAGTGACCTCTTCTTCTTCGTATATGGCTGGTGGCGAGGACGGGTGGCGAGGCGTGAGCCACATAGCTTGCTGGAGTGGAGAGGAGTTATCAATGGCTTCCTTCCACTGCTTGCAGACGCGCTGAGCTTGGAAGATATTCTGAATTGGAAGCTTGAGGAGGATGAATTCGAGCAGCTCGGTGACGCCGAGGACGCGTTTGGCTGCTGACGCCTCCATTTTTTCTATTATGGAGGTGGTATGGCGACTATGGATGAGGAAGCTGGATGGGCGTTGTGAGCTAGGATTGTTGTGGTTTTAAGGTGAGTTCGGTCCGTTATTGTACCGAGATGTCACGGGCTGGCCCAAGACACCTACCAAAACATTCACTAAGACGTGTCTCAGGAAGAACACCAAGACAGGGATTCACCTATAGTATAGCTATAAACTAGCCCCACGGCCCTCCACAGCTCTTTATAGTACATTAATTTATTTACTTCAACTCCTTAAACCTATGCCCATGATACGAGAGGATCATGCTAATTTGACTTGATATGGTCCCATTCACCGACCGTTCTTGGCCGAGGATACTCCGTTATAATTCTCTTGATCTAGTGATAGGCAAGTTCAGGCTATAAAAGCATATACACTAGCACTGCAGGGCGTGATGATGGAAACAAAAACTCTAAAAAGCGCTTCTAGTGAACAGCGGCTAAGAGCGGAAGTTGTAGCAGAATGCCACCATGACGAAAGGTGAATGGAAGTGCATAGATTCAAGTCAAACACAAAAACCCCTCCGTCATTGAAGAACCTAGAACCTCACCGATAACAACCACGATCGCAGCTCACAACATCCACTGCCGCCATCTCACCCCGAAAATGGAGGCGTCGGCGACCAGCCGTGCCCTCGGTATCACCGAGCTTCTTGAGCTTGTCCTTCTCGAGCTTCCTCAACGAGACCTCTACCAGGCCCAGCGCATCTGCAAAGGCTGGAAAACCGTCATTTCCAACTCCTCCCCCATCCAAGAAGTCATGTGGCTCTCGCCCGCCAGTCCCTCCTCACCACCCGCCAAGTACGAAAAGACTGAGACCCTCCTCGACTATCCCCTCGTCATCAAATACCTCTCCACCTCCCACCTGAACCCCCTTTTCCACGGCCGCTACGACCCCGATCCTTCCCTATCCGGACCGACTTGGAAGGTAGAACCAGGCAACAACGATGACGATGGCGACATAATCCACGTGGAATCTCTAAACAAGATCCTACCTTTCTTACCGACGACCGACTATGGAGCATCCAATGTCAACTGCAAGGCTACGTGGGAGCAAATGCAGGTAGCGAGCCCGCCTTGCAAGGCCATCCAGATAGCGAGGATCTGGGAAGCTCCTCTGGTCCTTCGAGATGAGACTGGGGTCCGCATGGGACAGTTGGTGAGGGTGATTGCGTCGTTGGAGCGGGCCCACCGTGCTGCAGAGGCTGCAGCGAGGGCTAGAGCAGATGCAAGAGCCGAAGAGGAACGAATCGCAGCGCGTACGAGGGGTCGTAGGACTGGTGTGTATTTTCCTGTGTATTCGCCTAGGAGCCCCACCTCCTATTCGGGTTATCAGCCTCACTCGCCTAAGAGAGGGGGAGGTAAAGCTGCAAAACCAGGTGGTCGCTGTGGGGACGAAGTGGATGGCCCGCCGGGCAATCCGTGGGTTGAGTGAGCTGGGTAGGTGTATGAGAGTCTGGGGGTTGTGCTACTTTATGAGGAGCATAAAGGCGGATTTGACAGTGTTGACACCGACCATCGATAGGCCCACGGATTCATGTTGTTCACTCGTCAAGGGACTTTTCAGTCGGGGATGGAGACGAGAGTAGAAGTTGAATGGCTAGCCTTTCGATAGACACGAAAACGTCCAAAGATATCCTACCTGAAATACCTACCAGTGGACTGTGACACATATGATGAGCGTGAGTTCTCTCAAATCCTAGTGTAATGAGAGGCGAAAGTGAGTTCAGCATGCTCCACCTAAGTTACTCGCCCTTATTCCGATTCCATATCTCATTACAAGAACAAAAGTTTAACTAGAGTACTGCAGAAACTCAGCAAAACCACAATAGAAGCACCCCATAGAAGCGTGCGCGCCGTGGCTAAAAGCTCGCTCGGGTCAAAGACAACGCCCAAGAAGAGAGGGAAAGTGACCGCAGCCACATACGTCCAGCGAACCCTGTTGAAGAATAAGACAGGAGCGAGCACCCACGGCAAATACGTCCAGAAGAACCGCTGGCACTCCCAAAGGAAGGTTCCGACAGTTACGAGAAAAGCACTGCCGTCCAAGATCTTTGTGATCCAAAATCTGTCGTATTCTGGACGGCGCAGCTCCCATTGTGGCATGAATGCGGACATATAGAGCTCAACCAAAAGTAGGGAGATTTCGAGCACCACTGCGATCATTGTCACAATTGGGAGAATACCCCCAAGCGCATGAAGGAAGTTATCTCTTAGATCTCTCGGTGCAGAACGAACGCGTTGCGCGAACAAATGAGCGCATTGCTGGAGCCAACCACCGCGCCGCTCGAGCTCAGCCGCACTCATCCCCGTAAAAAAGGCCGGAGTCCTGTCGCTCTTCTAACTCGAACTATCCAGCAACGGGATCCACGTTGTAGCATCTTTCGTTGAACTAAGAACATCCCGTTTTAGTTCGTCGATGATGTTAGCAATCAAGGCTTCGTGGTGCCACAGAATTTCCAAGTGGGAGCTTAGATTTAAGCGCTTGAAGTTGAACCATTTGTAGCCCTAGACGTCTTCGTTGAATCAGCCATGCCTGACATAGAACCTGGGGTTCCTGTTATCCCATCCGCGGTCTACGAATATGTTGTCGTCCATGGTGTTCTCTTAGGATTTCAGCGAGCTCTGAAATGACTACTAGTAAAATCTGTGAAGGGGTGTTGATAGAACGCAAATAATCAGAATAATGCGGCTGTTCTATTGTAAGTCTTGGAAGTCAATTCATGAGGAGAGCTTGGGTTTTGTTTTAGGGGTTTCTGGGTATACTGTAATGTGTTCGTGCTTCAAAAAACTTTAGGCCATTAACAAAGGCCGTCTTGCCCGCCCGGCGGATGAAAAAGGGCAACATAGGCAGCATCAAAGGCCCTGCCAACAACCCAAACACAAAGTAGACCAAGAACCGCAGGCCAACTACCCTCGATACAAACACACCATCTACCTCACCACAAGGGTCACGTTCGCCATCTTCATTGTCATCTCAATTTCTCATTACTACTATCAGAATCAACCACAGTCCTTCCCTACCTAATCTATAGCGACTTAACACTATTTCACTCCCTACTACCAAACTCCCTATCAAGCCCACACCATGCGCCCACCAACCCTCCAATCCTCCACTTCGCCCTCCTCTCCCTCCCTGAAGCCCTCCTCTTCCTCTTCATCGCCACCAGCGGCCTCTCCCTCTCCATTGCGCTCTCAAAGCTCTCAGGAACCGCTGCCCTAGATCTCCTGCGCGATACCAATTCATTAACCCGATACGACACAGGCAACGCATTCATAGCCTGGAACCTCGGCTATCTCTCTGAGCGCAACCTTTTCGCGTGGCAAAAGGGAGTTTACAACTGGTAGGCTACGCTGATGAGCCGGTTTTGGTGGCTCGTGGGGGTTTTTCGTTGTCAATCTGGCGAGGAATTTGGTTTGGAGGGCTGGGTTGGGTGGGGTGTAATTAGGTTCCTCGAATGCTTTCGGGGAGGGGATGCTGTTAGAGTTGTAGTGCTGGTGTGCATGATGAGGCGGGCTGAGAGGCTAGAGCCCAGACACGGGCTGCGGCGGAGGATGCTGATGAGGGGTTGGACTGGAGGGGGAGGCGGCCGGATGTCAGTCTTTTCGGAGATCCGAGTTGATGGAGATGGTTAGAGATGAGCTTCCATGGGGCATGTGGTTTGGCCATGCGGTGTTGGGACTCAAGACCCTATACAGTCAGATAGGAGAATTTGGAACGGGGTACAAGACAAGCTGTAACGCGGAACGTGGTGAGAGGCCGAAGAGGGCACTTGTGAAAATGTTAGTATGTAATCAGACCCTCTTGCAAGGGTATGCGATGCTCATCTCAACTTTTAGTAGAAGAGCTTAATACAACACATAATTCATCCATTCTCATTTCCTACTGATGAAATGACTAAGCGGCGATGATAGCGAAAGGAAAGCAGGCGTAACAACCTTACCAATTCATGTGATCCATCTCGGGATCCAGAGTCACTGTATCCCCGACTTTGATCTATCTTTCCATCATTTACGTCACGCGTGGCGAAGCTTGCTCAAATCTAGTAATCCACATCCCTCACAGATACAATGCCTCCTGTAATCATCCTCTGGGTAAGGTGGCTCCTTCACCTGGTTTCTGACCTCCACCGCAATCGATTCAACGGCATCGAGCACCACCTTCACAAATTCGGGGTTTGCAACTTGTAGGGTGACCTTGATCGGTTCCCTAGTACTAGTGTCTTTCAGAGGCGAATCATGAATTTCCGACGTCCACAGGGATCTGATAGCCGTAGCCTCTGCTGCAGAGATCAAGGGCGCGGTAGCAGTGTCGGGTGATGGCTTGGACAGAGCATCTAGGAAGCCGTCGATGTCGGTAATGACGAGACCGTTCTTCGAAGAAGGGAGTTCTGAGCCGGAGATCTGCGGCGCGACGGTGACGAAGGCGTATTGGAAGCCGATAGCGTTGAACCCTTCAAGCCCGCCCTTCCGTTGAAAGGCAATTGCGGTCCATTCTCCCAGCTTTGGGACGTGGAAAGTGCCGAACCCGCCGCAGCGGTGACTGGTGCTGGAGTTTGTAAGGGTGGGTGCTAGAGGGTTGATTTTGTAATCAGGCTTGAAAAGAGTCAGCGATGGGTGTTTTTCAACAAGGTAAGAATGCAAGTCTGAAGATTTGGCCTCAAAGCAAGGAAGAATGTATATACATCAAATCTTATCATATCAAGAAGCGAAGCGCCCCAATTGAGAATAGAAAGACGAATAGACCTCGAAACGTACCGTAGGACCCACAGCAAGAGAGGCTGCAACAAATTTACTATCCGCCCCATTTTCCGTGTAATGACCGAAGTACACGCCACGCAATATGCGTGCAATTGTACACACGACGTGATTTAGTGGAGCCCATGCGTCACGAATGTCTAGCAGTCTCCTTACGTGTACAGACATGCTCAAATCTTCGCGAAGCTTGTCACACATATTTTGGAATGCAGCATCGGGACCAGCCGTCATATCAGTGTCGCTCTCTTCGAGCCCGAGCCGCAGAATCTGAGAGACTGGCGACATGCGTCCGGGTCTGGTGACAGGAAGGTGGAGAGAAGACGCAGACTTCGTATCAGTAGCGAAAAAGGATATAAAAAGATCCGTGTGAAGCAACTCAGAAACATTAGATCCGGCTATTGCAGAGACGGCAGACTGCAAGTCGAGCTGTGGCATGTGCATGAGAACGAGTTCCTTCAGCGTCTTGCAGCTCGACACCAACGCTTTCAAGTCTTCGCCAGTGATTTGGCACATGGACACGTCTAAAGACGTTACGGTCGAGGTGACTTCAAGGTCCTCAAGTAAATGGAGAATCGCGGTGTTTGGCAACCTTGAGAAGGGACTCAAATCGATCTTGGACGCCCCTCGAAATGCCTTTCGAAAGAAAGAAACACCGCCAGGGTATTTTGAAGGGAAGTCATCATCCAAGACTTGGAGAAGAGCCTTTCGAGCCATTGCTGTGAAATCAGGGAGAGCTTCGGCGTCGTTGATCCAAGTGTCGTGTTCAGGGTCCTCAAGTGCCGTTTGAAACATACGCTGAAATGAAAGTGTACGGAGGTCTGTTATAGAGCTTGCCGATGATTTCGGTGCAACTTCCGGTACAGCTAAATCATTCAGGTAGCCTGGAAAATCGGCACGGTCCCTCCACATCTCTTGTGGCCATGTTTCGTCGAGCGTTTCTTTAGGAATGAGTGGTCTCACGTCGCATCTCTCCAATGCTGGGTCCGCTTTCAATGGCTCATCGTAGTATCCCTTGACATATTCTTTGGCTGTCAGAGGAGTCAAACGAGGAGCTCGCCTAGGCTGTTCATTATCTTCTTGTTCCTCACTACCATTGGTGTCGGGGTAAGGGTTTTCATAGTCTTCGTAACCATGAAGCGTCGCAAACTGACAATCCAAATTTACGAAGCAGTAGCGGATTTGATCCAGATCCGTAATATCGAGGACTGTGATTCCATCGTTGTTGTCAACCTCATCTAGCTTGGTGTTGAATCGCTCTACGTGCACGGACTTGGCGTAATACGGAGGAAGACACGAGGCGCCAAGTACAAGGCAGGTAACGATGAACGGGAAAGGCTGCGGACCGCATCTACTGCCCCGAGCTGGCTTGTTGTTCCAAGTGACTTCGTCAAGTGTCGTAGCATGCTTGAGGTCATGGAGTAGTAATGTGCGATTGGCCGGTGAGGAGAAGACTTGGAGTAGTAATGTGCGATTGGCCGGTGAGGAGAAGACTTGGTAGAGGAAGTCACAGTCTTCAGGAAGTAGTCAGTCTAAGAAGCGTCATGGACTGGAGATAGCCTGAACACGAGGGCAGATCTGGAAACTCAAGCTCGGGATACTTACGTTGAGGCGTAAAATAGCCATAAGACCACTGATTGTGGACGACAGCCAGTACACGATACCGATGCTTGATCTTCGCTATCACGAACACTTGATGTCGTTGTCCCATACTGATGGCGAGCTCGGCTTTGTTTTGGACGCTTCCCGAGATCAGAAAGGAGTGCCTAGGTACTTATCTGAAAGCCAATAACGCCCATGTTACACGGGAGCTCGCTCCTGGGACTGTTGCCTGAAATCTAAAACGCAATGTCGGGATCCCGCATATGCGAGGGAGGGATCGGTGACAGTCTTTGTGACTGTTATTGGTAACTATGCGATGATCACGGGAGGTTTCCGGCGAAGATGGTAAGGGTAAAGCCATCATAGTTGGGTGAGGCAATTGCCATTGGCCGCTCCACTGCTACACGAACTCTCGGGCTGTATCCTTCGCCCCGACTAAGCTCTGGACGTATTTGAATTTAGAAAACCTTGAAGCACCACAAGCCGCGGCCGGAAAGTGTATACAAACCTATCAGGCCTTCGTAAGATACTCAATGCACGTGATGCTTGACGGTCACAAGTGACAAGAATAGTAGATTTAAGGCCGTCCAAGAAAGTGACTGAACGCAACTCTATTGTTCAAATCTTCGGCGTACCCTTCATCCTGACCCACAGGCCCTCGCCCTTCACCAAGACCTCACCTTTCGCATTCTTGACCACACAACTCAGTTCTATCTTCTTGCCTAGGTCGTTCACTTCTGTTTCGAAACCTATAACGCCAGGACAAGGCACGGGGCGAAGATACTTGATATTCAGCCACGCTGTCGCCATCCAGCCGGCCAGTTCAAGCTCCTTCTCCTCGCCCTCGTCTTCCAGACTATCCCGGCCATCAACAAGCTCCCCATTGTGTTTTGCAACGCATAGCATGCCCCATGCCAGCGCTTCGTCTACGAGTGTGGACATGGCGCCGGCGTGCATCATCCCCGGGAATCCCATCAGGCCCGGACCGCATGTGACGAGGGTTGCGGCATCTGTGACCAAGCCGTCGGGTGTGGAGGGCTTCTTGTAAAATTCGTACCAATGGCGCACGCCGTCGTTGCTGCGCATCGTCTTGCGGTTGAAACAGTCCTGGTTGGCCGTCGCGGTCAGACGGCTGCCACGAATAGAGGCGGTCCATTGAGGATCGGAGAAGAGGTGGAGGGCCCACGGGAGGGACTTGAAGGGTTCGGGGGAGATGGGCATTGTTGTAGATAGGGATGTGTGGTTGATGGCGATCGTGGTTTTAGGCGTTAATGATGAGAACGCGGGGGTGAGGATATCTATATATGTTATGGCAAGTCCATTGCTTCATCCTAGCTCGTCAGGTCTCGTCATGATGCGTCGTGCGTTCAGTTTTGGCGGCATAGATAGACACTACGGCACAGGCTGAGTCTGGGAGCTAGGAGTAGCGGGGATGCTCAGCGGTTGCTGCAAAAGGTTCGCCTTCCGAACAGAGGCACGTAAGACTTTGTTGCAGTTAGATTGACTCCATGCCTGGAAAGAACATGCTAATGCCGAAACGATAGCATAAATGTGTGGCTTCGACAAAGCGCAGAACTTCTTTGGTCCGTGAGGATGTAGATGGATGACTAAGCGGCGCTACCCTGTGAGGCTCAATATCAAGCTTCAGGCGTTCCTCACATCAGCACGGCAACTATTCGTGTGAGAACATAGTAGCTCTTGAAGACCTCTACTGTCATGCTATAGAAAATGGTGGAAGTGTTCCTACTTTCTCGCTGTCCGACACCAGGTCACCCCATAAGTCTCTATGTTACCTAAAATAGAGACGGTCTCTCCTCTCCAAGCAAATCTAACAGCTCGAGAGCCGTTTGCTTTCATCATCTGAACTCAAGACTCATCTGGAAAGAGGGAATGAGAATTGAATCGCTTCGGTCAATGAGCTTCCAGGGGAATGTCACTCATAGCCTACCCTTTCAAACCTGGTCGCTTCTACGTGGTATGGTCCTATGGCATTAAGATATTCTGTGTCCCACTCCTGGCTCTACCAAATACACAGCTAAGAGAATACCGTTATGAAGCCTGAAACGCCATGCCGATAAGAAATAATGCCTAAGATGTCGCCAAGTCCTCTTTATAGTCGGCTTCGGTGAACGCCACGGGCTTGTCTTTGTAGAACACGCGAAACTGCAATTTGGCCGTGTCCAGTCTCACTACCAGATGAAAGGTAGCAGCTCTGTACTTCTGTTTAGTCTCAGGGTTGCGGAAGCTCTTTTCATGCCACAGCTTGTCGCAGTCGATGCCATACTCGACTATGCACAACAGCTTAACACCTGTGAATTGGCCAAGTTAAGTTCATTACCCCTCTTAACGTTCTCGTACGATGACTTACTGGGCTCCCTTCTCGAAGGTGCATGCTGATCGGGACAGAAAAACAGCTCTTGCGAGAAATTACGTATGCCTTTGTCCCAGTACCCTACCTGCACATCGGAAGCTATTTGCGTCCTGAGAAACTTCCCAACTTCGATTCTTTGACCCTGCGCAAATGCTGTCAGCAAACCCAACTTGCACATCTGGAGGATGAATCTGAGTCACCAACTAGACGTACCTTCCGGAGTAGCCACTCCATCTGGCCTTTGGCATACCAGTTTCCGTCCGGTAAGCGTCTCCGGTCTTTGGCCAAGTGCTTACTAGAGTCGAACGGTATGCACATAGATGTTCCGTAGTTGTGGCGTGCTATGCGCGCTGTGACTGTTCTTCTTTGGGGGGTTTCTTGTGTGGCCGTGGTCGCGTTTTCAAGCCCCCATATAGTGGCTCCTCTACATATGGCTGACCAGCTGCGAGAATTAACGAGGATGAACTCAACAAGCGATAGCGGCCAACACCTACGCTCCAATGACTTGTAGTACACCAACTCCGTCGCCACCATGCGCGTTTTTGAGTCTTTGGTACATGTACTTGTTGGCGCCAAATCCGCCGACCAACAGGACCGCCTTAACCTTCTGCCCTTTTTCCTGAACCTCCTCGATTTGCTTGTCGACCAAAGTCACGATCTGGTTGATAACATGGTCAAATACAGTCCGTAAGAGGTTGCTGTGGTTCTCGTCAGCTGAAATTACCTAACAGTCACGCTTCTCCCTGGCTCACGGCTTTAACCTGATGGTATCATCCTCGATGCCTTCATCTGGATTATCTTCTACGCCTGGAAGATCTACGGAGAACTCTTTATTATCGCCAGTATAGCATCTCTTTACTGACACTTCAAACTCTTTCATCATCCTTTTCTTTGCCTTTTCCCGGATTGTGTTGTAGTCGCCTTCGCCAACCACCGTCTTGACGTATTTCTCGAAGGCTGCATCGACGAACACCGATCCACACAGGTCCCCTAGCCCAATTGTCAGTAGTTGTCAATTTGGTTGCTTAAGTTCATACCGTCGCCTACTGCGCACTCTTCCATTTGCATAGGATTGACACCGGTAACTTTGTAGCTGATGAGGTCCTGGAGTTTATCAGCAGGAAACACACAGATTTTCTATCGCTGCGCTCACCACTGTGCCCCCGCCCGCATCGCACACTACGAAGGCGTCTCCGACCTGATTGAATTAGCTGAAAATTCACAAGGCCCTGCGGGATATAAGTACCTGCATAGTCTTTTCTTCGTCATTCTTATCTTTCATTACGGCTAGTGCCGCAGCCTCTGGCTCTGACACCAACGACAGGTTCTTCGGCAGCCCGGCAGCCAGCGCAACCTTCTCTGTCTTCTCTTTTGCTGCCGGCGACCATATGGCAGGGACAGTTAGCACCACTTTGAGACTGTACAGGGATTCCCAGTCGTCTCCCTTCATCCTCCGGATATCGTCTCGGGTATATTCCCAAACGAGGCGCAAGTAATCTGCGGCGACGTCTTCGGCGGTCTTTTGGAGGCTACTCAAGAGGGAACTAGACGCGACTACAGGCTCAGCCTTGTTGCGCAACTTGTGCTCTGGGTCCAGCAGTATCTTGAACCACTTGAAACTGCTTTTCTCGGTCATCTCCACATTGTAGCCCCAGTTGTTCGGCTTGCCGTCCTTGTACGATATAGCCGTTGGAACCTTCTCGGCGCTGGCGACAAGCGAGCCAGGATTCTGTAAAAAGTGAGAAGAGCAACTACAAGATTCAACACTCTTTGTCTACCGGCCAGTCTGTAATGAGGCGGACATTCTGGTTGCCACCGCTCACGACCCAGGATACCCCAGAATGCCTACACATGAGCGAATATGAGCACCAAACATCTTTCCCCGTTCTTCGAAGTTCATCAAGACCTACGTTGTACCAAAATCTATTCCAACAACAATCTCAGCCGCCATAACTAGTCTCTTTAGCAGTTGTGGGGATAATGCGGAAGGTTGGATGTGTGCTGAGGATCCGGGTTTCAGGGTCAAGTAGCGTAGACACAATCTCGCCGTGTTGCTTACAATTCCCAGCTCCACATTGGCAAGGCTCCCACATCTTCACATGTTGCTTCACATGCTGCTTCACCACCATTGGGGATTTGCGGACATCCTATGAAACCATCGCTTATTATCGACAGATCCGGCGCAGATTTAGTAAAAGCGGCAACATTCTGGACCCTCAGCCTGGTGCTGCCCACAAGGCTGAATTATGTATGCAACCCTGATCGGCGTACGGCAACATGTCGTGTATCATTGATTTGTGCTTTTTCGAAAGCTTTCCAAGGATATAGTGACTTGGGCTCACAGCTGTCTCACTTCGTATTTCCCTTTTGCCGGAAGCCTAATGCGGAGCCTGAGTTCTCAGCCTCTTTTGGTCATCTAACGGGAGTTATCTATATGTATGTGTCAGCTTCATTGAATTTGCTCTTGCTCCATTCGTTCGTCAACATCGGATACACCAATTCCGTACCAGTTCAATCATCAAACATGGCCGCATCCAATGCAAGCCCAGAAAGACTTAGCATGATTATCATCATGGGGGTTACGGGAGCGGGGAAGAGCTACTTTATCAATCGCCTTGCTGGGCGAGAGGTTGTCCAGGAAGGAGCCGATCTAGACTCATGTAAGTTCACCAAAGACACTAGAAGAACAACGCAAATTGACGTGTGGTACAGGTACTCAAGCGTGTCAGCTCATTCCCATCACAATTGGTGCAAGCAAAGTCCTTCTCATTGACACTCCCGGGTTTGATGATACTCAGAGAACCGATTCCGAAATCTTGACGGAGATTGCCCGTATTCTGTCCTGTCAGTACCAGCTTGGCGTGGATCTCAAGGGCGTGATATACATCCATCGCATAACCGACATCCGCTACAGCAGATCATCAGTTAAGACTTTCGAGGTCTTCAAAAAGATCTGCGGCGAGAGAGCGCTCAAAAACGTTCTGCTCATAACGTCACGATGGGGCGAGGTCTCTCAATCGATCGGATCGGACCGAGAGCGGCAGCTGAAGGACCGCTTCTGGGCGTACATGCTTGGCCGCGGTTCAAATATAAGTCGATTCTATGGCGACCGCGACTCCGCCATCGGCTTGATCAGTCAATTGCTGATGAAGGAGACGGCTGTCCTCGAGCTTCAAGAGGAGCTCGTCGACAATGGCAAGCGTCTGAGCGAAACAAGCGCCGGTGCATATGTCAGCAACAACATTGATGACATGAAAAAAAGATACGAGGAAGAGCTCGCTTCTCTGGAGAAACTAAAGCTAGAGCTACGAGCCAACGATCGGGCGATGAAGCGGCAGATTCAGAGAGACTGGGAGGAAGAGCAATTGCGTCTCGAGAAGGCCCAAAAAGAACAGGTCAGTCTCCAGCGCCCTGTTGGTACTGAGGTGCAGGAAGAGATTAAGAAGAAGAGATTCAAACTTTCTCTCTTAATTCCATTCATCCCCTCTGCCATCAGCATTATGTGCATGTTTGTAGGCATTCCGCCAGGGGTATCAGGGATCTTCACCTCGTGGATGGGTATTGACGACCCAGGATCCGATTTCTCCTTATCTGATCTGCTCTCTTTTTGACGATCGGGTTCTGGACTGGATCTCGCTTGCAAGCCAATGCAAATCTCCACTACCATTTTTGATCATCTAGACGCCTAGCTGAGATTTGCAGACGAATAGGACAGCACGATATAGGCTTGTTAAAATCACCCTCGAAATGGATTCATGGATGGAGAATGTCCGTTCAATTATTGCCTGGTGCTATTATAGCGGAATCTGATTCGTTGCTGCCAAAAGATAGGCGATGATACGGCACGGCACGAGAAGGTTTGGAGTGCATGATCTAGCTACCTTCAATACCGGTCAGCCATTTATAAATAGTGCAGCACACGACTTGGTGCATGGGAAGACGTGTCCAAGATATCCTCATTGGAGAAGAGGCGCGTCTGAATTCTGTATCCGGCTTAATGCAGACCTCAACTTACCAGTGGCGCATCGGAAAGTGATCATCTGGACCATGAGCTGATAAGCAAGGTAACTGCTTCCGGCCTCTAGCTTGTGGGCAGAAACGCCCCAACGCTGCTTTAATACGACTGATCCCGCGGACGCGCAACCTCAGAAGAGGGGCCACGACTCCTATTAGCAGGAACAAGCGTGTTCGAGAGAATGAGACTTGTGCTCCGACTCTCGAATCGGACAATTCCTAAAGGATGCCTCATGGCAGTATTTTCACGGCCTTCAAGCTTTCCACAAACCCCGACTCACCAACACAGAACGTGGCGGAGGGGAAATCGGAACCCATTGATAATATGCAAGCATCTGTACAGCCAATGAAAACCTCGCATCAGCAAAAAGAGGAGAGAGAGGTTCGAAGTTCCAGTAGAAAAAAGCGAGTCAGTTATTTAATGATTTGCAGTATCCTACCTGGCAACCAGCACTAACAAGGCGCAAGACGATCAAAACTCCCTTAGATCAAAACCTACCACCACTACCCAAGACTGTGGATGAGTCTCATGATGAGGGAAACCAGTCTCACGAAGGCACCGACAATAGTCAAGAACTGAGACAAGGTATGATGCTCTCTATGGAACACATATGAATATACCTGGGCTTACGATGTAGGGCGAGGAGATCCAGCACGTTCAGGAGGCCTTGAATACAAACGAGATGAAGTGGTTCGCGTAAGGCCATATGTACACAATGTAGATGCGAAACCATATGTCGTAAGCGACCGACGTGCTGTAAGTAGCTTTGTTCCTTAACCTCTTCAGAACCGCGGCAGCTCAACTTTCTAGCGCAATACACTAAAAAAGATGTTGCGCCCAAACGATCCCCACGCTAACAATGACGCCCATCTGGCCTACGACACCAAATTAGAAGAGTCCCGTACCCAGATCGAGATCTGGAAAGCGGCATACCAGGAGCTGCAACAAAATTTCGTTCAGTACGATCAAATCCTCAAAGTCACTCAGAACGAGCGCGATGAAGCGCTAGCTATCAACGAACGTACCAAGCAATCGGCTGGTCAGATGCAGAAAGCCATGGACAACAAGGAGCTATTTCTAGGTCCTCAGATGACAGACGATGACATCCAAACTAAGTTCAAATCGCTCATCAGTTCCATCAAAACTTGGTCGTCCAACTTCCTTGGCGACAATTTGCAAGGCCCGGAGTTCAGTCAGGAATCTGTCCTCAGCTATGTCCAAGTTCTTCCTCTTTGTCCTGAGATCCGCTTCATCGAACCTACCCTCGCTAAGAAGAAGAATCGGCGCCTTTTCGTGAGAGGCTGGACTGCGTACGTCATAAGCGATCTAGTGTTGAGAACGCTCCCAGTACCAACGCCGGGCGCGGACGCTCCCAAGGGATTTACAAGTGCAGATCTTTGGTTAGAAGAGAATGTTAGGAGCAGTCTACTCGAGTTGGAAACTAGGTTATTTTATGATAGTAAGTGTCTACCCAGGAGCCATCCACATACCTTCTCTCCCTTTTATGCAACTACGGTGACCAATCTGACGCAAACCCAGAATCCTCACACGCCCACACGTTCAATGACTGGCGCGCCTTCACCATAGATCTCCTCTCCAAGACATACACAGATAAGGGCCTCACGGACAACGGTAGCATACAAATCATCTCCGCGGCGCGGGAGATCATGAGCTTCATCGGTGTCTGGGCATCTCCCGAGCGGCACGATGAGCTCGAAGACGGCCTCATAGCCATCTTTGAGGATGCCATATGGCTGTCGCAGCTTCTTCGTCGACAGCGTGCCCTGTGGTATGTCCGTTTCCCGCGTCCTATACCACGAACCGATACGACGCTGCCTGGCCTGCTGTTGTTCGATCCGGCTACTATGACTGACGAGTGGTCGGAGGATACGGAGCAAGATCTGCAGCTCTTACGCCAGCGATATGTCGAAATAGTGGTGTCGCCCGCGCTTTTTAAGCGCGGCAATGTTGACGGCGAGCGGTATGATGTTGAATATGCGGCGGTACCTGCCTCAGTGTTGCTGCGTGCTCCGACTAAGAATTAGAGTAGATGCAACGGAGAGACTCTGGTTTACTTGATGCATTGAACACTATGTACAATGCCTCGTCATCGAAAATCGTACACTCGTGTACAGCTGCTTGAGGAACTTCATAGTATTTTCAGTTTTCCCAATAAGAGAGGAGGTCGGATTTTGAACACTAGTAATCTCGCTAGGCTACCCCAGACAGCGTCAAAAGGGTGTACGCAAATTAGAAATGTATTCGCTACCCCCGGTTTCTATCAGTACATTAGAGCCCCTCAGACAGTGGCAGCACATTGTACGAATATCTATGACAAGGCACTGTATTAATGTTGAAGGCAAACCAGGGCCTCTCTTCGCACGTGATCTTTACCTTTTTCCCGCCGACTGCAAGCTGCTCGGATGATTTCGAGATTCTTGGCTTTTGGCTAAGTCTCTGGCTGCGTTTGGCTAAGTCTCCAGCTAGGGTTCGCTAAACCTCCGGCTGCTTTTAGCGAATCTACTACCTTCGCGTCCAGTGACGTGCGATCCAAGGATTGGCAGAAGAAAAAGATGTGGATTCTATAGAGCATGGTCTACAGTGCGGGGTGGAAAATCTATTGGGAGTCGAAGAGGTATGATAAGTGATAGAAGCAATAGCATTGATAGATACTTAATTGGTGGTATGTGTGTACCTCCACGTGAGTTTCGACCTTCTTACCTTCACACTTCGAACCTCCGTTCGGCGAACCTTCATCCCGCCTACTCAAGAAGAGGTGCTTATCTAAAAGCTGATAACGTATTCCACAAGCGAGCCGTCCACCCAAGCGAGCCGTCCACTTCATCATGAAAACCTGCCTCAAACGTTAATTGCTCCACAACGCCAATAGATATCAACTATATACAACTTGTAGCCTGATCTGCAGCAACCTCTGCATCGTTTTTGCACGTACGAATGTTGTGCCCTGATTCGCCGCAGCGCCCACAGCGCCGCACGATTCCATCAGAGCCTGCTCCACCTTGCTGCTTTTTGCTTTGAGCGTCCTTCTCGAGCCGTTGAGCAGCTATTTGAGAGCCTGTTTCCATTATCAGAGTTCCTTCCCTCTGAATGCGCTTTTTTTTGCGCGCCTTGCGCTTTGTGGCGGCTTCATTTGCCTTTTGAAGGCTGGTAACGGTATCGCGCAGCAGCGCAGCTTGATGCATCATGCTTTCAGCACCTTTGGAGAGGCTATCAAGCGAGTCAAGAATGGCTGTAGGCGAGCTATTTTGATGCATTTGAATGCGCTCACGAATCAAAGCTGATTGAGAGCCTAGCTCAAGAGCGTTGCTTGGTGTTTTTGATTCCCATGGAGCCTCCACGGCGGCAGGCGGAGGCGACGGCGTACGGAGCCTAACATCAAGCTTTAATAGCACTGCTTCTGGATCAAGTGGTACAAGGCCTGCGCCTCGAAAGCCTGCGCAAATGTTGCTCTTTGTGATTGAGCTGTAGAAAGCTGCTTTGAATGCTGGCAGGAACTCTAGCTTGGTGATATGGTTGATATGGTGGCGCACCAAGTCCTCAATTTGGCGCCCATACGCCTTTTTCATTGGCGCAAAGCAGCCAACATCAAGCGGCTGTAGCAGGTGCGATGAATGCGCTGGCATACAGAGAGTAATGATATTATTCTCCTTGCAAATCTGTTGGAATTCGAGCGAGATATGGCTCTCGTGGCCATCAATAATCAGCAGCCGGTGCGTGCCTATCGTGCGATCTTTTGTATGCGCATTGAAATGGTGTAGCCAGGTAATACCAAGCTCATTTGTTGTCCAGCCATTATCGCTTACTGCTATAACCCAATCTGGTGGTATATTGTTGCCCTCGTACCATGCAGAAAGGTGGTATATGCCTGCAAAGATAATAAATGGTGGAATAGCCCATCCACAGGCATTAACACCTTGGATTATTGTTGTCCATTCGCGATTGCCTGGCTGCACAGATTTTGGACGATTACGGCGCTCAGAGCCTGTTACAACTACGCCCGTTGAGATGACACCCATTTGGAAGCCGGCTTCATCGAAGTTGTGTGTATCTTTATCCAGGATGCCATACTTTGCTTTTGTATTGCGCACAAGCTCAAACCAATCGCTAATAGCTTTTGGATCCTCGCATAGAGCTCTTTGACGGTCGTACTTTCGATTGAATTGTGTTTTGAGCTCAGGTGTTCGCTTGACAAAGTTCTCTGGCCAGTTCTTGCCAACTTGGCCGGCGGCGCGCTCAGCAAGCAATTTGTTGGCCATCTCTCGTACAGCATACAAGCTAGGCGGAAATCCTCGCAAATCCAGGTCGAGTATATGTTGAGTGATAACTGATTCCTCTAGCTTTGAAAGCTTCTTCGAATTAGGCTCAGAATCGCGTCGTGGGGTTGTTCCAGCGCGTCGATCTCGAAGTGTGCTTCTGGGGACGTCATATGTTGTAATAGCGCGCCGTTCGCTTGTAAATTGCTGCCGATTGATTGCTGCGATAGCCATGCATATTCGACCTTCATTTTGTATTGATTGCACGTTGTGTTGTCGACGCATGGTGGTTGGAAGTTGACGCGTCGCGTTTTCGTGATGAAGTGGACGGCTCGCTTGGGTGGACGGCTCGCTTGTGGAATACGTTACACGGTGATCTTCTCATTCATGAGGTTCATGTAGACTCGATATGCTTGTATTGCATTAGCAACAAGTGCCAGATTTAACGCATTGAACTAAATCCAACAACTCAGTCAATCAGCCTGGTCTCACTGCATCCACTCGATGTCGAACTTTCGGCTCTGTGCTGGCCGAAATCGTCGCTGCCATACCTTCAGTGCTGAAAGTCGACCAAACAATTTAGACAGCTCTTATCCCTTTTCGTTGCATTTTGATTCCTCGATATCCCAATCGAACAATTTACCCATTCGCCCTCTTGTCGCGTTCCGTTCACGCCTCCACCCTTTCATCTCGACCAAAACGAGAGTAAGCACTCGAAATCTTCCATGGTCAAATCCTCAGCATTTCTGCGCCTATTTGTCAATTCTCTCCTCAGCCGACTCGCCACTTTCAGCGCCACGGATGCCTTCTGCTCTTTTCCCAATTTTTCGAGCAGTTTTGCTTTCAAGAAGGCGGTGCGTGCCAGCTCAGGCTTGTAGACGGAGGCGTCGAAGCTCCACGTTTTGAGGGCGTGATTGATAGTATTGCTATGGAGAACGATTCTATTAGCTGATGAAACAAGCAGAGCAAAAGAGTTATCGGGGAGGGGGCAGATTTAGAAGAGCAGGAAATGAAAAAAGACATAGATGAATGCCGTGAGACTTACATTGCCTCTTCATTCCGCTGCAATGGGATCAAATGCTCCGCAATCCTGTGTTCGATGTCCGCGGTGCGGTGATTGCGATCAGGCAGCTGGTGAAAAGTGATGAGAACTCTGGTGTATTGCTATGTAGGAGGATAGGTATATATAAGCGTAGAGGAGCTAAGCCAGCTAAGAGAAGGAACCCTGTTGAGCTGAAAGGTAACGCATGTAAGCTAAGGAATAGCGCTAAGGATGCGCTAGTACAGTAGCGTATGGACGGCTGCCACTTATATCTCCCCAATTCTCTTCTAGGTTACCAGTGCTATCGTCAAACTTCCCTAGCTAAGCCATAATATAGCAATTAGCTTTTTCAAGGCTTCTAAGGAAATAGTCCGACGCAAGGTAAGCTCCAGCATCCAGACTCCGGAGGGAGCCAGAACGGGACCCATAACGCTGGCGCATCAGAATCGCCGGTGCTTCATGCGAGTCATGAATATTTAGCGCACTTATAATTAAGGCATAACTTAGATCTAGGCTGTGCAGCTTATAAAGCTCCAATGTAGATACGAGGGTCGAAGTGGATACGTCCAACGTTGGAATGGGGTCAGGCTTTAGTAGTGTCGCGCTTTAAGTTGCTGTGAGAGCAGCTAGCACAGACAGCTTGAAGACCCGTCTTGCGAGCTCAGCGTACTGCGAAAGAACAAGTCACTGCAAGCAAGGGAAAACGTGGTCGGAAGCGCAAGGTAAATGTACCAGACACAGGCTTAGCGGGTTTCGCGATAGAGTTTGTCTTTATCACGCATTTGGCGGAATGGTTGTATAGATTGGTGTTGCCATAACATTAATCCAAAGGCCTGGTAAAACAATTTTATACGAGGCCGGTATAGACACTAAATTATTGAGGTTACTTGCATGAAGACCATTTGGCCTTGACTATGAATAACAATCCCATTCTTCTCGAATATGTTTGAACAGGGAACTTCTCGATTTACCGTAAGATCCTCGAGATTAATGTGTGTTGTATCGGGATCTGAATCCAGCGACACGAGCCATTCTGAAGTTAGAACGGCGAAAGCAGTGTCTCCAGAAGTTGCTTCTTCTTTTGACTCGTAAATGAATTCAAAGTGAATCTTTGGCAAAATGAGATGGACGGAATAGCCTCTCTGAATGTTCAATTTGGTTTTCCTTCCACGCCTGAGTAGATATGTTTGTCCTGTTGGTAGCCCTATGGCGTTGGAGTTCTCTGCTCGCAGACTCTCATTTTCACTCGCATCTGCTGAATGCGATCTTAGGTCATCGAGCGATGAATCTCTAAGAGTGGGTGTCACGGATATTTGGGCATCATTTCTATTATCGATAGATCGAGAAACACTGAAACTAGCGAGCTGGCTCTGGGTCGAAATCGTCTCAGCATCCGTTTTGGCTATTGACCTTGTGTGAGCATGCACACTATCAGATCTGGCAAGGAGTGGAGGTCGATGTTTGCTGGACCGTCGCCTTATCTGGCCTGACCCCTGGCTTTCAAGATGGTCAGAATGGAGTGCTTCAGCAGCAGCTATCTCCGCGGGTAGGCCAGCTGCTGGAGAGCTGATCAAAGCTGCTGGGAGAGTAGATCCCATCGAAAATATCGTACTTTCACTGGGCTTGGGTTTGATCGCCCTCGGAGTTTCCAATAAGAGTTTAAGACGTTCTTCGATTGCTTCGTTGAACTTCCGGATCACTTGCTTCATTTGTGTCATGGATTCGTGGGGAAGTACGACTTCTTCCATTCGCGGTAGTCTCCACTCAGGGTAAAAGTTGCCATGAGATCTTGGCGTATGGAACTCGCCATGCACTGTAATAAATAGATAGCAAAGATAGCATGCTTCCTTATTCGAGCAAAGAATTCTCGGTCTGAAAACACTCGTCGTGTGCTGAGCGTAATGATAAAGCAGCTGTATCTCCGCGTGGACCTTCTTATGGACTTCCATGGCTTTCGCTATGCTCGTTTCAACCTTTGCCAAACTTTTCCCAAGCCTCTGAGTCACAACAGTCTGAAAATCTCTGCGCTGTTTCGCGGACGCGTCTGTTACTGTTCGGTGATAGAGCCCGTGGTTCCCGGTTCCAACTGGTTGCGCACCTGTGGCGTGCAACTTATAGGGACCACTGCTTGCACACTGGAGCTCCCAGGATTGGTGCTTACGAACCATATGTTCGATGTATTCAGCAGCGCATTTGTACTGTGAGACTTTTTTGTACGCCCTGAGAACTCTCTCGTAGTTCGAATATGGCCAAGGCGAGTCCTTGGGCCGAGCAGTTGACAGCACATTCGCAAACTGTGTGACATCGAGATCAGAAGAGAGGCCGAGGATAATCTTTACCAAAATACATGCCCCTTTCTCTGAACGAGCATCAGGCGCGGGCAAGCACTCTAACTGCCTGAAAAGCGCCAGCCATGATTCTGCCACTCCTTTCACTCGCTGGTAATCCCCTAATTGGCATCTCGACCTTGGAATCTTCACTACAGCAGAGTGGAGTTGTTCAATAATAGGGTGCCCTCCAGGTTCGTTACTATTTGATCTTGGACCATGTCTTGAGCGTAGACGTCTCAAGATACGAAGTTGATGTGCTTTAACAATCTCGGCCAGAAGTTGCCACTCCTGATCTGCAATAATCAATACACATTTCAGAAGAGATAGATTAAAACATACCTGATTTTTTGCCAAATCTTGCAGCGTTAATGATTTTATAAAATACAATCTCTTTCTCGTCTAATGTTCCCGAATTGGCAGCAAATCTAACAATAAAACCACTGCTGTTCGGCTGCTCTTCTATACACACAGCTCCAACCCGAGATGGCTTGTTGGTTGTTGCCAGAATCAATGCGAAAGCTTCTGCTAGTCTTCTCTCTTCGTTGAAAGTCAAAACTCTTCTGCTTCCGGCATCTTCTTTTCTCGGCCTGTGGCTTGGCGGTAGTAAATCAACAACAGGGTCCGACAAAGTTCGTCCCTGGTTTGCAAATTGGCTAAGAAATGCAACATTCTCCGCCAAAGGTCCCTTTGGATCTGCCATGCAGCTAAGCCTGTCGAAGCCTCCCTAGTTCTAAACTGAGAATGCCTTCTCAAACCGAAGGTCCGAGGGGGTACTGTAATTAAAAACTTTTGCTCTGGTGATGACCAAAAACTTTAAGTCAAGTTTGCTGATAAAAGACGGAGTCGAGAATTGCAGTTGCGGGGTCAATTAACGTGCAACACAAGCGAGCCGGCCACCCAAGCGAGCCGGCCACCTCATCAACTCTCAACAGCTTTGAACGTAGATTGCTCCACAACGCTAATAGATATTAACTTAATTCAACTTGCAGTCTATTCTATAATAACTTCCTCATCTTTTTGACACGTACGAGCATTATATCCTGTCTCGCCGCAGCGCCTACAGCGCGCTTGCTGCCGTGCACTTCCACCCGGGCGCCTCCTATTTTGACGCATTTCGCCCTCAATTTGTTTATTAGCTTCCTTTTGAGCGATTATATCAGACCCCTGTGCCTTTGTTAGGACTCCTTGCCTCTGAATT